ACTAGAGCTAAGACCAAATCTACACTAGTTGACTCAACTGAGATACAACTTCAACAAGAAAACGTGACATTTAACTACATTAATACCTTGGGTTAGCTTTCAATTTCCTTGGCCTTTTTGATGGGCAGAATTCATTTGGTTTACAAAAGTAGAAGGGTATAGCTACGAAGATGTACAAACTGATTGGTGGATTATGGCTGGCACTGTCAGTCAGCTGCATTGATGCTTAAGCGCATGTTGGTAGCTGGCCTACAGTAAGGTACATGCTCATATGTACACGCTAATCCTAGGTAGATCGGAAAGGAAAAGTCCCCGCGTCCGTACCGATGTACAGTCGCGTCTTGTACTTTCCGCAAAGCGTGGAAAAAGTATAGGCGTTACATATTATCGTGATACCTAAACCTTGGAACTTATCTACCCACGTACATAATACCTAACCACCTATTACTTGCATCTCAAGGTACTCTTACTGATACCTTCAATGCGCCGAGGCGCTCAGTCTTAATATACCCTTCTACCCCATTCATTGAAATGTCATAGCTGAAATCGCAACTGGATCTAAAGCCGCTTAGCGACGCTGGATCCTCTTTCGCATATTGCCTCGCGTCGCGTCCTCATCTAGCCAACATTAACCCACCACGTATTCTAGATAAGTCTTTCACCAGTTAAGTCAAGATGGGTAAACTCATTCGTCTTGAGCTATTCAGTGCGTATACTATCCTATAAGAAGCTTCGAATATGCGACAAAAACTAATAACATGAAGACTTCAAGTCCTATAAGGGCCATCATACCCTTCTCTTTGGCGACTCGTACTTTACCTCTATCATCGGCCCAAATGGATCAGGCAAATCTAATTCGTATGTCCTACCCCGTCCCGTTTTACAATCGACCCTTGCGCATTGCGTATTAACTTGACTCTGTAGTATGGACGCCATCTCCTTCGTCTTGGGTATCAAGTCGTCGCATCTACGTTCCACCCACCTGAAAGATTTAGTATACCGCGGTCGAGTTCTTAAGACGTCTAAGATCAATGATGATGGTTCGGCTGCTGAGCCGACTACGAATGGTCATACAAATGGACACGTTAACGGCGACGACAACGATAAACCGAATCGCAGTGACCCCAAAACTGCTTGGGTTATGGCTGTATATGAGGATGATGCTGGTGATGAGCAGCGATGGAAGCGCAGCATTACGAATCAGGGTTCGAGCGAATACCGCATCAACGACCGCGTCGTCACGGCTCAGCAGTATAACGAGGCCCTCGAAGCTGAGAATATTCTTATCAAGGCCCGGAACTTCCTCGTCTTCCAGGGCGATGTTGAAGCTATCGCGGCTCAGTCTCCCCAGGATTTAACTCGTCTAATTGAGCAAATTTCAGGCAGCTTGGAATATAAGGCCGAATATGAGAGACTCCAAAGCGAAGCAGACCAGGCCGCCGAGAATTCCAACTTCCAGCTTCAGAGGCGGCGTGGTATCAATTCCGAAATTAAACAATACCAAGAGCAGAAACGCGAAGCCGAGAATTTTGAGAAGAAGATGGAAGAGCGCGATGCGGCCATCGTTACCCACATCCTCTGGAAGTTATATCATTTTCAACAGGTTATGGATGATTCCAGTGCTAAGATCCAGGATCACCAGGAAAACCTCAAGGAGTTCCGGCGCAATGTCGAATCGTTTGAGAGGAAGCTTGAAGCTGCTCGCAAGGAACAGGCTGATGCCGCAAAGGAGGTCCATAGGGTAGAGCGACAAATCAAGCGACAAGAAAAGGAGATTGAGGAGAAGGAAAATAGTCTCGTCCCTATAGAGGAAAAAGTGCAGCAGACAAGTGCTCAGGCCGAAACAATCCGAAACAGGATCGAGGGCGTCAGGAAAGAACGCGATGAGCAGCGCAAATTAATCGCCAAGATCGAGAAGGACTTGGCCACAGTCCAAAAAGCACAGAAACAATTCGAGGACCAATGGAAAGAGACGATGAAGAAGCAAGGAAAGGAGTTAAGCGATGCCGACCGGAAGGAATACAACTCTCTTCGGGCGCAAGCTTTAAACAAGTCTTCGGAGAATCAAGCTAAATTGGAGAACCTCAATCGACAGCTAAAGACCGATGAAGTCACCGTAAATAGCCTGAAGGGCAAGGTTGACGGCTATCAAGCTGCCGTAGAAAAGCTAGAGACTGAGTTGGCAGCTATCCAAGAGCGAAAGCGCACCACCGAAGCTACTGTAAGGCAGCTCTCGAGCGAGATGGATGCTAAGAAGAAGGAATTCAATCAAATTCAGTCGGAAAGGGTTAGGACTAACCAGAGACGAACTGAACTTGACGAGAAGCTTCAAGACGTCTTACGTAAATTATTAGAAGCAGACGACGGAAGGCGTCAAAATGACAAGGAGGCGCGAATAAAAGAGATGGTCACCTCTCTTAAGCGTATCTACCCAGGTGTCAAGGGGAGAGTCGGCGAGCTGTGCAAACCAAAACAAAAGAAGTTTGACGAAGCCGTCATCACCGCACTCGGGCGCGATTTTGACTCCATTATTGTTGATAGTGAGAAAACCGGTGTCGAGTGTGTGCAGTATTTGAAAGACCAGCGTTTCCCGCCAATGACCTTTATCCCATTAGACAACATCAAGGTCAACGCGGTGAATACTGCCGTCAAGGGCATTTCCGGTGCTCGCTTGACGATCGACGCCATCGATTTTGACTCGTCCCTCGAGCGTGCCATGTCCTACGCTTGCGGCGGCTCGATTGTCTGCGATACACTGGATATCGCGAAGCATATTTGCTACGAACGTAGGATTCAAGTCAAGGCCGTAACCTTGGAAGGCTTCGTTATTCACAAGGCGGGCTTGATGACCGGTGGGCGGGTCCAGGAGAATAAGGGAAATAAACGCCGCTTCGAAGAACATGACGTTCAAAATCTACAGAAGATGGCGGATAAATTCCGGGATGAAATTGAGAAGATACCCAGGGCTGACCGACGTGGCGTGGCAGAGGAGTCATTACAGAACGAGCTCGCGGGGCTTGATCAACGCTTAGCATTTGCTAACAGCGAACTGGCTGCTTTCAACCAAAATCTTGCCAGCAAGAAAAAGGAGCTGGAACATGTCAAGCGCCAACTTAAGGAGTGGCAACCCAAGTTCAAGGATGAAGACAACAATTTACAGAAAACTAGAGCGTCGGTCGAGAAGTTCAAGTCTGCAATCGCCGAAGTAGAAGACAAGATCTTCGCTGACTTCTGCAAACGACTCGGGTATTCTGACATACGAGCCTACGAAGCACAGCAAGGTAGTCTCGAACAAGAGGCTGATGAGAAGCGCACACAGTTTGACCTCCAAAGATCAAGACTAGAAAGTAATAAGAGCTGGGAGACATCAAGATATAAGGATACCGAGAGTAGGCTTCATAACCTTGAAGTCCGCCTTAAGCAGTTGTCCGAAGATATCAAATCCTATCGAGCGGAGAAGAAGGCGATCGAGGAAGCGATGAGCAACGACCAGGATAACCTCGAAGCTTTACAGGAGCAGCTGGATGAGTACAAAGCTGAGCTTACCAAACGCACCGAGAAAGTCAACGCAGCCAAGGCGGAAGTGCAAAAGAGAAGCAAGGACATCGAGAGTAGACAAAAAGCAATCAGTGCTCTGGAAACAGAGGTTCAGAAGAACAGCGCTGGGAAGTTTGCTTTATTAAGACGATGTCGACTTGAACAGATTGATATTCCCCTAGTTTCAGGATCACTTGACAATCTTCCAAACGAAGACAACCTCTTGCACCAAGACCCAGACGCTATGGACGTGGATGAAGGCGACGACGCCGAGATGATAGATAACGCTATGGATGATTACGGTATCGAAGTTGACTTCGACCAGTTGGATGATGATTTGAAGAATGTAAGTTGGTGATTAAAACTTGACAAGGGTAGACGCTAACTTAGACAGCCCGATGATGAGGGCATAGAGGAGAAGCTACAAGAGAAGATATCATCTCTCACTGCAGAGTTGGAAAAGCTAAACCCCAACATGCGAGCAATAGAACGGCTAGAAGTTGTTGAAGCGCGGCTCAAGGCCACAGAAAGGGATTATAATGAGTCAAAAGCGGCGTTCGAAGCTGCCAAGGATGCCTTCGACGAGATCAAAGCTAAACGCTTCGAGTTGTTCAACAAGGCATTCGTACACATCCGGGAGCAGATCGAGCACGTCTACAAGGACCTTACGCGATCGGACCAGTACCCCCTCGGTGGACAGGCCTATCTAGATATCGAAGAAGACACGGACCGGCCGTACCTGTCGGGCATCAAGTACCACGCGATGCCGCCGCTGAAGCGCTTCCGCGACATGGAGCACCTGTCCGGTGGCGAGAAGACCATGGCCGCCCTCGCCCTGCTCTTTGCCATCCACTCGTACCAGCCCTCTCCCTTCTTCGTCCTTGACGAAGTCGATGCCGCCCTCGATAACGCCAACGTCGACAAGATCAAGAATTATATCCGCGAGCACGCCGGCCCTGGAATGCAGTTTATCGTTATCAGTCTCAAGACGGGTCTCTTCCAGGATAGTGAGAGTCTGGTGGGCGTATATAGGGACCAAGAGGTGAATAGCTCAAGGACGCTGACCTTGGATGTAAGTTTTTTTCTTCCTCTTCGCTTTTAACCCTGCCCTTTACCTTCCATGGCTTTGTAGTCTATATTGTGCTAACTTCTCGTCCTCAGCTACGCAAATACGTGTAATATACAAGTCAGTTCTATAAGAAAGAGATATTTCTACAGGAGACGGATGTCACGAGGGACGGGTTCACGAATGACTAGGTAGTAATGGGTGGTGGTTCGTGTTAACATGGATAGCGAGCCTCGAATCATAGCTAGGGGCTTTGCGGAACCAGTATTGCGTTGAAGATACCTTTAACAAGATCCCAAATACCTTATTTGTACTATACGTATTCCTTCGGAACGATGTAGATATTTATCGTTTACACAGCATCAACTGGGCTTTTTTTATTCCACGTCTGCAGCCAATTCTAGAAATCCAAATGTAATTGTTTGCTATCCATTTTTGGACGCCTCGCCCATGCATATATCTAGCAGGGATTAAAAACCCCCAAATCAAAAAGACAATAAATACCTTATACGCTATGCCTTCCTATACATATATACTTAGGGTATCGTAATCGCAAGGAAGCACTCCTATATGCTTCTCGTGCCCCCCTTCCTTTTACCCTAATGCCCGCAAACCCAACACACATAAAATTTGATTAGTTTTGCTTAGACGTCCTCGAATTGCATCTCATCGTCATCCTCGCTTTCGCCGCCGTGAGTTGGCTCCGCCAGCTTGACCTTCTTCGAAGGCCTATCTTCTGAGGCGGGTGTATCTGCGGCGCTAGTGGGACCGCTCGACGCGAGGCGTTTCTCGCCGGTAGAGCTGATATTCGTAGAGATTTCCACGAACTCTTCATCCTCACTCTCCTCATCTTCCTCGCCGTCCTCATCGTCTTCCTCGGCTTCTTTCTCAGCTTTACGCCTTGCTTCCTCAGCTTGAGACTTCTGTAACGTCTTGAATAGCTCCTCCATAGCTTTATCGTGGTTAGCGTCGCCGACCGACTCGTCCGGCATTTTAACGCTGTCGTCGTCCGTCTTAACTGCTGAGGTCGAGTTGGAACCTCCGGCAAATGATAGACCAGAGACGGTGCTTCGGGTATGCCACTCCGGCAACGCGTTCATCTGAGCAACCTCCTCTTTACGGGCGCGTTCAGCTTCCTTCTCGGCTTCGGTAGGACCATCCGTGTCCGTAATGCTAATCGCAATACTCTGTGGACCAGTATTCGCCATACCCTTGACAGCGGTTGGTTTCCCGAGAGATTCGACGGCGATCGAAGGAGCGACCCTGTTGGCTTCATCGCGGTAGACAGGGGCGGCTTGAGAATATAAAGTCTCAAAGTCGGCGTCGGGAATAGTGACGGTATCGAGCTTCGGTAGGACTTCGATGATGAATTTAATCTGACTGTTTAGTCGAGTAGAGAGTTCGTGGCCACCAGCCTCGCGATCGGGGTCAAAAACCAGGACTGTGTTGCAGCGGTGACATAGAAAACCTCGGACAGGATCGTTATTGTCAACAACATCAAGCATAGTCCATTCGGCCTTGCAAAGGGGACAAAAGTATTCCTTCTTCTCCTGCTGGGGGGTAGATTCGCCTTGGACTTTCTTATCGAGTAGGAAAGTTCTATACTTGATCGCATCGATGGCCTGGCGATAATCGATGTAATAGTATGTGCGATTTCGTGGTTTATCTTTGTCCTTTTCGAGCTCAGGTCTCATATGGCTATGACAATAGTAATTAGTTCAATAAGTGTTAATGAATAAGGGCCAATAAAGGTAGCCGTACATCTGCAATAAGTGATCTTCCTTTAGCTTGCCGCAAACCCTGTGCAAATCTTTCCCGTTGAGGTGGACTAAGTAAGACAAGTCGTCGTCGCGCAAAGTTGTATGGCGGACCAATGCATCAATGATAATAATCATTCTCCGATCCTCGGGATTGGTATAGAAAGCGCGTACGACAGAGCGCACTAGGGTCTGTACCATATCCATGATGACGGAAGATGCTGGGCGAATAGGCGCAAAAGGTAGGTAGAAGAAGTGTTGTTGGGATTGTTCGATTACGATAATATGAGAAATTGAGAATATGGGGATGTGGAAGATAGGAAAATGTAAAAAGAATGAAATTAGTGATAGACGGATGGAAAAGTAGTAGACAAAGCGACTCAATAAATAATAGTGAATGTAGCTTCCATCATTTATCAGGTATTGCCAGTTATTGACTTGTAGGAAGTTGGCGGTGGTGGGATACCTTATCTATGAGGACAAAGCGAGAGGCAACATGCGATGTTCCGTGTGAAGGTTCAACCGTCAGATGTTTCGCTTAAGGAAGACGACTACTAAAATCGAATTTGACCCATCGACCAACCAGCCTACCGCGTAGGATTTTGAATTACGAATTGGGAAATCCTAATGGTCGTTTCGCGTTGAGCGTTTCTAGAATGTCGAATGGCTTCGAGCGATTGGCGAAGTTGAGGAAGTCTACCTAATGTTTGGCTTGATGGATATTACCTAAGAGGTACCTTAGCTATCCTCGGGGCGTCATTTCTCGGGCATTCTCTTTGTCCGATTCCGCTAGTTATCTTTTTATCGTAACTTTCCATAACTCCAATTATCTAGCTGACGTCACATGCCAATACTAAATGTACACCTATTTGTAAATGGGATGGCACGAGTAGCAGCAATCTACATGTAATTCGTAGGAGACTTTTACCGTGTAGGTACCTATTTATAAGAATTGCAAACTGAATAACACATGATGACGTCTCCTCGAGTACAACCCACTCTAGATTACTTCTCTGAATTTCCCTGGGAGTTCTGCAAACAATCTCTCAAGGCAAAAGGTTAATGAGGATAAGGTTGACACTCTACAATGACATCTCGCCAATATCGCCACAGAGACTACATTAAATAAGACACGTAGCCAAGACATGTATAAACGACTTTTTTATCATCAGAAGGCTCCTACGCCAAGGGTCATTATAAGAACATTGAAAACAAGACGTAGGTAAATAAAATGCCTCTCAACTTCCCGTCTATCTATCTATTGCCTACTCATATCAAGCCCGACGAGTTGCTCGAACTAGAGAGTAAAATACCTACTTTGACCCATGACATCGATGAGTCTAATATCATCCTAGGCAAGATATCTAATAAGGAAAGGGCAAAGTTCGAACTAAGGCGCAGAAGCATTCTAACTGAAGATATCAATTTATCCTCGATTCCTCTCTTTATTCCGGAGACGCAGACGGATAACCCATATCCGCCACCAAAGCGGAGAAAACTCTCCAGCTCAGTCTCTCCTAAAACCACGCGTGATTATAGACAGACGATTGGATCCGAAGGAGAGAGCCTTGATGATGGCGCAAGTACTTTTAGCAGGGTTAGTTGGGAAGACCAGGGGTCAGGAAATACCACAGACGAAGATGACAACTCTATCGTCAGAGTTGTGAAACTGTCTTGGTTCATGGACTGCTTGGCTCAGGACCATATCCTTCCAATAGATAAGTATTTGATATATCAAGGTCGCAGATTACAAAAGATATCCAACAAACCTCCGCCGAACCCTGATGATATCCTTAGACGCGCTCGGCAAGAAGGTGGGGACGACAACTCTGCAGCAAGAGGAGGCTTTTCGCATACATATGCGTCTGCCTCGCAGCATTTTAGAACATCTGCTCATGCAAAGAGCCCTGAGTTGGTCCACGAGTCGACGTCGGAACATGAGCGTCGCTCACACATGCCGCCGATTCCGGATTACTTACACACAACGTACTCTTGCCAGCGTCCCACACCTGCAAGCCCCCCTAACGACTCTTTTATCGACGAGCTAGAAAAGATCCGGACGCTTAGAACCCTCGAAGGTGACAAGATAGGCATCAGAGCCTACTCTACAAGTATTGCCTCCTTGTCAGCTTACCCCTATCTCATTTCGCACCCAGCTGGTAAGTGCTCAAAGAGTCCTTAGTGTAGCATGAATTTATCTGATTCCAATTCCAGAAGTGGCTAGACTACCTGGCTGTGGCAATAAAATTGCTACGCTCTATCAACAATGGAAAGCGAATGGCTATCTAGAAGAGGTCGAAGAGGCAAAGAAGGACCCGAAAATGTCTGCACTAAAATTATTCTACAACATATGGGGCGTCGCAGATACTACTGCTCGCGAGTTCTATAAGAAAGGATGGCGAGATCTCGACGATATAGTTGAATACGGGTGGGATAGTCTAAGTCGAGTTCAACAGATCGGTATCAAGTACTACGACGAACTACAGGAGAAATTACCTCGTCGTGAAGTTGAGGAAATCGGACAGGTTATACTGAACCACGCTAATAAGATTCGCAAGGGTTTCGAGATGGTTATCGTCGGAGGCTACAGAAGGGGTAAAAGGGAAAGCGGCGATGTTGATGTTATCCTCAGCCACCCCGACGCGGTCGCCACCTTTAACTTTGTCGCGGCTATTGTCAATAGTCTTGAGAAGGAGAAGCATATAACCCACACGCTCATTATGAGTACCAAGAATAGCGAGCGTGGGCAGACTCCAGTGTCATGGAAGGGACAGGACCGTCCGGCAGGCGCCGGATTCGACACTCTGGATAAAGCCCTAGTGGTGTGGCAGGATCCGTACTGGGACAAGACCGCATCATCCAAGAACCCGAACCCCCACCGGAGAGTTGACATAATTGTCAGTCCATGGAAGACGGCCGGCTGTGCCGTAATTGGTTGGACGGGAGGTACGACATTCCAGCGGGATCTGCGGAGATATTGCAAGCATGTGAAGACTCTCAAGTTTGATAGTAGCGGCGTGCGGAGTCGGACGGACGGAAGTTGGGTAGATCTCGAGAGTGACTCTAACGGTCCAGCCCCGGATATGCTTACGGCGGAGAAGCGGGTTTTTGAGAGGCTTGGGCTGGAATGGCGTCCGCCGGAGGAAAGGTGTACGCGATAATTACACTAACAGTCTTCATTTTCTTCACGGCCCATCTACGAGATTGAATAGGTAGGTTATTAATACAATACGGGACCCTGAAAATTATGCTGCGCCTTGGGTTATTGCTATGAACCGAGTTCGTTAAGCCAAAGGGATGGGGGTTTAAGCCTTATTGCTCACGAGGGCGATAAATATTTGCAATAGCTACTCCATTATCTAAAAGGACTTCCCCTATTTGGAGCTTGGTAGGATTGCATAAGAACGTAACGGAATTATAACAACACCAGAAAAAAGAAAAAAAGAAAAAAGAGAAGGGGGAAAAGTGTAAAAAAGCAGGCCCCAGGTTCGAGCTGCGCACACTTGACCAGAACAAGCAGACCAATCTTGCCGCCCTGCCGCTGGCTCGAACCTGTGAATACCTTCGAAAAACCCCGCGAAGGGATTTTATCTACGCCGTCGTACCTTCAAACAACTAGACCACGGCCTCTTTGGCTAATGCATCTTCAGGTCAGGAGTGATGGAGGGGCTGTTAATGCGCCTTATAAGTTTGTTTACCTTGGGTACATGTAATTATGTATCTGGCTGCCTAGAGACTGCGTTGCTATGGAGGTGCCTGGGGTAGATATATATTTACATGAACTGTAGACTACCTCTATAATGTTTGATGTGTTATTAGGTACTGAATAAGCTCAACGGTACGGTCAAGAAGTATTAATAGATTTACCTATAACGCGCAGTTTTGCATACCTACCTAGATGAATATTATACATCTTATAGAAACGAGAGGATCCAGTGCGCCTGTACGCCCATTTCTCATATCTATTTCTCAAATAGTTAGGTAATCGTCTTGCTTCACATACATTAGGTAGGTATACATACTCATCCTCAGCCATGCAATATGGTAGAATGTCACGGCGGTCCGCATTCAGCTTCGTAACCAACCCCCATAAACTATCCTCTACCATCGTCACCTTTCCCCTTCCCCCTTTTCTTAGCCCATCACAACTTAGACTCGGGTCTGCTTCTCCCATCGTCACTACCAGCCCTCTCCAGTATCCAATCCCCCACATCTTGATAGAACTCCTCCTTCCCAGGGTCAGCGTGTAACTGGTGCGCCCAACCCTCATACGGCTTAAACTTCCCATCCTCCACCTTCTTCCCCTGGCGCTCCCACCATTCCCGCACGCGATCGTAACTCGTCACCATGTCCGCGGTGCCGTGCGCGAGGAACACAGCGCGCACGCGCGGCCGCAGCTTCAGTCTCCCCGACGCTAGCGCCTCCGCGCGATCAATCATGCCCGACAGTCCCTCCAGCGTGCCCGTGTAGTGCAGCAGCGGGTCCGCCGCCAGACTCTCCTGCACCGCCGGGTCCCGACACAAATGCTCCGGCGGCACCGGCCGCACCAGCGTGAAATTCGGCACCACGCGCGCAGCCAGACGTCCAGACACGATAGTCAGCCGGTTAGGCTGGACAGCAGGTGCGAACCCCAAGAACGGCGCCTCCAGGATCCAGCCGCGGATGCGGGAAACGACGTCGTCGAACGCGGGGGTGCTGGCCAAGGCTAGGACCTCACCGCCGCCCATGGAGTGGCCTAGGACGAACACTGGGACGGCGTCTGCAGGGGAGGAATGGGAGGAGGACGAGGAGGGACTTAAAGCTTTCTCGCGGATGAAGGCTGCGAGATCTGCTAGTACGGTGGCCGTGGGACCGGTGCGCCCGCGGTCTGCGGGGCGGCGCACGCTTTTCCCCCAGCCGCGCTGGTCGAAGCCTAGGACGGCGATGCCGCGGCGCGCTAGGGACGGGAACAGCTCGTAGTACCGGTCGATGTGGTCGCTGAACCCGTGGACGGCGACGAGTTTTGCTTTGGGCGGGCCGGAGGGCTGGGGAGGGTTAGTTTTCGGTTGGTTTAGGTAGGTAGGTAGGTACCTATGTATAAGAGAGTGTACATACGAGCCAGGACTTGGTGTGCAGGTTCACGCCGTCAACTTCAAATGTGCCTTCGACAATATTGATATCTCCCATTTTGGGCAGCTGGTTGGTAGGGAGAGGGCAATTGGGATTTATAAGATAACCTTAGTGTAGATTAACGGAAGTGAAGAATGTAGTACCCGTCTATGTCTATCATATGTCGTTGAATGGTTTGGTACTTAAGATAAATCTAAGCTCTAAGTTGGAATGAGATGAAGTTTTGAAGATAGTTTTTGTACCTAGTTGCGAGGCAGCTGGGAGCTATGTAAGCAGGGTCGTATATACGATACAGCTATTCATTGGTAGGAATGTGTTTAGCTACACTGTATATTTGTATTGCATTATATTGTATTGCTGACGGGATCGTATTCCCTCGAATAAGAAGTGACCCAATCATCGTTTCTGTATCGGGAAGCTCACCGAGGTAAAGGCAACCAACTTCAGAGGCCTTGTAAGTTCAATTAGGCGCTCAAGACATGTGAAATATAGTGGGGTATTGGGGTAATAAGCCACCACTAGGTACCACAAGGTACCACTATTATACCATTACCTCCTTGTTAGATTAGGTAATTCAATATAAACTTTTAAGTCTAACAGCGTAACTTCTTTTTTATCTTCTCTTATTCTAATTTTTGGGTTAAACGAGATAAATAAAATATACATCCCTTGATAACCCGTTAGTTTTTCCACGGAACCCTTACATCTATAGTCTTAAGAACTAAGTGCCTAAGCATCCCAATAATAACCAACACCTTCTCTATCCTCTTTTTCGACGTGCCGCCCACAGCTCCTAGTATCCATGGTTTGTACCTGGTCTAAGTATTCATATGATGTTGCGCTTAACCCGGCTATACTGCACATGGCGATCATTTGAACGCCGAAGAAGGCCGCACTAGGCGATGGATTCGGCGGCACGTGGAGTTGACGATGACCCACAATGGGTAGTCAGAGCGGGTAGTTAGTTGGCTAGGTCCGGTAGATGACTCGAGGATGAGTAGTGAGTCGTGTTAATTAGTTTCAGATTTAGATGGTATCGAGGCGGTTGTTTTCGTTGAGCTCTAGCGCTAGTTGACTGTTCTAGTATGAGGTAACTTGGTAACACCGCAGAGGGGTACTCTAAAAATAAATCCTGGTAACACAAAACCACGACACATGCTAAAGGCGGAGCTTTATGATAGAAAGAGATGTAAGATTGAAAAACCAAGCGGCCGCTAGAACTTTGTCATCTACTGCAATTGATATCAGAGCTATCAAATTGTCTTTAAATTATAACGTATAGTAGGTAATATTAATTGAGTAAATCCAGTTAGGAATAATCGATAGTATGCACTTGTTGTAGTTATCCGCAATAGTTTAGGCCTATAATGTAATGGTATGGAGTGCATGTGACGCCGTCCCAAGCTAAGTGAAAGACCGGCCGCCAATGGAAAGCTCTTGTAACACCAACTCGTTGTGCTACACTAGGGCCCAAGGGATCCTTCTCAGCTTCCATTTTATTGGGTTCTGAATATTGGGTTCTGAGTTCTCAGTTCGTGAAAGACTGAAGGTGCACCCGAGCTGAGTAATGTTAGTTTTGCTTGGAACAATACAAGTGAAATAACACTGTACCACCATAATCTAAACTTTCAATCCTATAAGACCAACCTCGTTACTCGCTGCCGTCTCAAGGTAACCTTCGGAGAGTACCTAATATATGTATATAACCTACCACCTCGAATCCTTATATACTACACCTAAACACCTTTGAGAATGCCTCATCCGTGGGAATTTAACGAGGAGGGCCCTGAGCCGGAAGAGGAGCGGCGGACCTTGCTCCGAGAAGGCGAGGAAAAAGCGCGGCGCGTCTTTTCTGAGTTCATCGACTTTGCTTTCTCGGGCAACATTCTTGAAATTGCATTCGGTTTGATGTCAGTGAGCCCGTCTAGAGCTTGGGGCTGCGGACCACTGACTCTCGTCTCTGCAGCCTAGCAACGGCATTTACAGCCGTCACTACCTCGCTCGTGAGCGATATACTTCTCCCTCCACTCTCCATCATCCTCCCGCTACGAAGAAACATGAGCGAGAAGTTCGCCGTGCTGAGACCGGGGCCGAATTACAACGACCAAGATGGCTACAACACCCTAGATCAGGCGCAGAGCGACGGGGCCGTCATTCTAGCTTATGGGTACGGATAGTCAAACGCCTTCGTTGTTGACAACAGGTTCCCGATAATTAACTTCGTCAACTAGTATATTTCTCAATAAGGTGATCAATTTCCTAGGCGTCGGCCTAGCCCTGTACGGCCTAGCAAGCTTGTACCAGTGCCTGTCGCACGATCCTATCATCAAGCATACCGTCAAGTGTCGATACTGCGGAAAGAATGTTGGCTTCAAGGTATGTGATTTTGACCCTAAGGTAGCTAGCTAGCTACTAGGGACCTATGGGTCTGACCGATCTAGGCAATCCGATGTGTGAATTGCACTAGCTGGCTCGATGGGCGAGAAGAGCGGATGCGATAGACGACCTATAGTTACGAGTTGCTTATCGGAAATACCAAGTGAATATCGTGTTTCCGGTCAGTATACCTAACGCTTCGAATATATCTCCTTTCGGGACGTATTCTAAGTATTATTCTTTTTTAGAGAATGTCTCATATAAACACTTTGATAGGCTTTAGACCGCTTGATTTAGCATGTTCGATCCGATCATTCTCGTCATTGGGCTTCGGTGTTGGCGTAGATCGGCGCAGGGCACCAGTGAAGTTCGAGGAAACGTCACGAGGGGAAATCCGGTTTCAGGGGGGGGGGTTATGGCGTATGTTGAGAGAGTATTTGCCTAGTACTTCTCATTCTTCTCGAGATATTGTTAAATAGAATTATCAGCTGAAACCAAAGACTCCTCAATTAATAGTGATCGCAATAGTTGTATGAAATTCACTTTGAGGAATAAGGTTCAAATCGGAAAGTTGAAGATATCTTGATGCCGCTATACTTGAATAAGTATGCTAGAAAGGAGGTATGCACACTAGATATCTGCATAGATATGTACCTATGTAGGTAGTGTATAGAGTTACAGCCAGGTTTTAATCCCTGGAACCGACCAGCGATGTATGATGTCATTGTTCTAGCAACGTGGTTACGGGCAATATAATGTCTTCTAGCCCGTGCTAAACGCCTTTTAATATCTGATTTTCGTGTACTAAAGTTTGATGGACGCGTCATGATCGTTTCCAAAAACTTATAATGTCTAATGAGTCGCATGTCGAGCTTCACGACTTGGAACGATCAGCGACAGAGACGGCAACTCTACAGTCGCAACAGCAACAGCAGCGCGAATACCAAAATAATGGACGCCGTCGTTCGAGTTCTGATCCTATAGGTCAAGGCCGTCAGCGGCCAGGTTTAGCAGTGATACGACCTCGTAGGGGAACAAATGGCTCTCGTATGTCCTCAATTGCTGAGAATACAAGACCGACTAGTACAGCCCTTTTCCACACGCCGAACGGGCGTACCGAACTCGATGAAAATATCGCCGACCTACTCGATGTTATAGGTAAGTACTTTATAAAAGCACTCATAAAATGTTCGCGCATACAGCTGACCACTCGATCAGATCCCGAAGTGTCTACGTTCAACAACGTGACCAACATACAAAACTCTCTTTTTGTGCCATCTCTCGGTAGATTTATCAACCGGCGGCCAACATATCAACTTTCAATAGCACCCGAACATGGAACTATTCGAGAGGAAAAGGATAAAGAGGAAGATAGATTCAACTTTAACCATGCCGTTCTCCCCGATGGCGTATTTTTGGACGGGTGGACCGATGCGGAAAAGGACGAGCTCAATGACTACGTGCGCCATATGTTGCATTCACGACGTTCCCGGTTTAAGCGAAGCATGAAAGCTTTTGGACAGTACGTCAGGAAGCCCCTTGGCTTTTTTGTGACGCTATACGCGACTCTTATCACGCTTTTCGGCTTGGCTTGGGTACTGTTCTTGATTGGTTGGATCTACGTTGGAGAGGAGCAGGTTTACGCCATCAACATCATCGACTATGTCCTGGTCGCCCTTTTTGGCCTCGTCGGTGACGGCTTGGCGCCTTTTCGTGCTATCGACACCTACCACATGGCTTACATAGCGCATTACCATCGCCTAACATGGAAGCTACGCAGAAAAAAGCACATGGGGAACCTACGCGACAAGAACGACTTACCGACGAATTCGGATCTTGAGGCGGCGCGCGATGAGTTATCAGTCCTGTCGCCGCAGCAGGAAGCGCGGCTCGTATACCACCAGACGAAGTTTGCCAAATCGCACACGTTCTACAAGCCGCACGAGACCAAGACGCACTACGCATTTCCCCTGAACTGGCTGGTAGCAATCGTAACGCTGCTCGATATACACTCATGCCTGCAGATCGCGCTGGGCGCAACGACATGGGGCATCGACTATAACGTACGGCCGATGGCGGTGACGGCGACGATCCTAAGCTGTTCCATCGCGGTCAACATCACGGCTGGCATCCTAATCAGCATCGGGGGGCGACGGACGCGCAAGAAGGACGTGGTGGAGCGCATGTTCCGACAGGACCTAACGCGCGAAGCGTTCGACAAGATCCGCGCGCGCGGCAAGAAACACGGCGACACCGAGAAGCAGCTCAAGGCGGAGCGTGCGCTCGAGCAGGGCCGCAAGAGCGAGGCGAATGACGACGCGGCGAGCGAGGAGATACGCGGCGTTCCGATAGAGAATACCAAGACGGAGGACGAGCGGGGGATATACCCGGACGCGCGATGATATTGGAATAGACGTGGATAATGTCTAATGATCTGGTTTCTTTTATTGTTGGCGGGGAGAAATGCATACATACCCAGGGAATATACATGGTTTTTTTTTTGGTAGTTGCTAAAACTAGCTGTTTGAAAGCCGTATGATAGTGTTGAAATATTTTATCATATCTAGGTAGGTAGTCTCAGTCTGATCTTGCAGCCCCGAATCGTGCTACTTTGGTAAAGTTGAGTCTATGGTGATAGCTGGGGTCTTTAACCGAAGGATTCCCCCTTTACCCCTTAACCCCTTAACCCCTTTTTGTGGTGGTCCTATCTTTTGAGAGGTAGTTGGGGGGTTTGACAATAATTGGTGAATGACCCGGTTTAGCGTGCCCCCTATATGCTCTAACCCTACAACTATGAAGAATTAATAGCTTTAAAGGATTATTCTTTGTTTGAGCTATGTTGAAGTTGGGAGAAAGAAAGTCTCTCGAAGCCGGGGGAGCATAGGGGGGTTCTTTTTTCCTTCTTGGTGGCCGTGGCATAGAAGTATAATTCGTACACGTACTGTTGCAGGAGTTGCAACATTATATCAAGCGTCTCGTTAATGCAGCTACAGTGACAACCTTTAAAGATGTACATGAATAGATCCAACCGTTCAATAAAACACAGGTACCTATTCTATATATATTGTCAATAACGAGAAGAAATTGTTATATCTCCTATATGCTTGGGACTAAGCTTAGCTTGCAGATCCCTTTCGCCACGCTACGGACCCCTTCAGGCCCAATTTCTAGTCTCTCATCCGGCAGGCTCTTGACCGGATGCCCCCAAGCTCTAACACCCGTTTTGTCCTTCCTGAAGTTGTGCTGGAAGTATCTGGAGAGTTCAACAGCTTCAGCCCCCCGAGGTAGTACTTCCCCGTAGAATGTAGTGAGTAGGCGGTGGAGGGCGGCGTCATCCGACGAATCGAGCTCCGTTATCAGCTTGCCCAGGAGGAGCGCATCACGCATCGCATGTATACCTCCTTCAGCCTTGAATGGCAGCATCAAGTGCACAGCATCGCCGAGCAGAATCGCCCTTCCGAGCGGTATCTCGTCAAGATGGCAGTCCGTTGGGATCCATCCAATCTCCCGAATGCCTTCTGGGGCTGTCTCATAGATGATGCTTCTGAATTTGGGATCCATGTGCGCGGTCATCTTCTTCGCGATTTCGAGACGTTCCGCCTTGGAAAGACTGTTGACTGCCGCGCGACCAGTTTGCTCAGCGAGAGGATCGTGCCATCCGATAACCCAGAAGAATTCTCCCGACTTGCCATCTGGCGATATCTTGGTGAGACCCATGAATAGGTTGTTCCAGCCGTCCCCGCTGGTCACTGGTATAATAGCCATGCTATGCGCGATCTCCAGCTGACGCGCGAATAATTCACCGCTCAGCGTGGTTTCTCCAGTTATGGAGCTGAGCGGAACGTTCCTAAGCACCTCGCTATTAGGCTTCCCTAGTACATGCTCTCTTACTGCGCACGTGTTAGACGCATTATTGCTATGAATTATTAATGGGGGGAGAAGGGCTTACCAATGCTGTTTGCACCGTCGGCACCGATCAGGATGTCACCCATAGCGGTGGTGCCGTTAGTAAAAGAGACTACCATTTTATCTCCTACTCTTTCAATCTTTCTTGCAACCCTGCCATACTGGACGTTGAAACCGGTTGCTAGCCACTGCCGGAATTGCAGACGGTTGACGCGCAAGGTAGGAGTAGAAGGAGAGTTTTCCGTGCCAAGACGATCATTGTGGAAATAGAAAACAACTTGAGTTTCTAAGTTAAGGGGATTGAGATGATGAGCAGCGTCCCTAAGGTTTGGCATATCATCCGGGAAAGCCTTGGATAGATCGTCTAGAATGCTGTACGATTTGATAAATGGTTTAGACATGTATGTAGGTAGCTATGATAATTGGGAAGCTGATACTAACGTGTGCATTGTCAGGGACCAGCCCTGGATTCTAGCAACTTCGTGCTCGTCCCGCTCGAAGATCTCAAATGGTATTCCATTCTTCCGAAATATCTGGGCGAGGGTCAGGCCACCGAGACCGGCGCCGACGATAAGAACTTTCGGCTTGTATCTAGTTTCCGACATATTTGGCTCTATTGTCTCTTTCATCTCTACGATAATAGGTAACTTGTTCTAGTAAATACAGAGAATATGCCATCTCGACTCAAATTGAAGTGGCAGACAGACCGTTTTTATGTACGAGGATCCCAAGAATAGCTAAACCAATCATGTAATAGTAAATGCATGCGATCCCTCAGCTCTCGGAGACGGAGTATCTCTCCACGCCCCGTAAGGCTACCTGTCAGCGATAATGAATTATATGACAGGTCTAGACGTAGGTACCTTATCAAGCGAGTACATAATGGATCTCATATCAAAGGAACGGGACGCCACCAAAGGAATCATGTGCAAGGGTTAGTTAAACCAGATTGGTGCGTTTAACTGTTATGTTTCTCCGTATTATACATGATTCGATACCTACCTAAGGTACCCAGATATAACGAGATACCTATATATACTTTATTCTTTCTTAGTTAGTAAACAGCAGCGAACTTCAGGCGGGTTTCTCTCTACCAGCTTAATATATATAATATGACTGGAGAAGACTTCGTCAACCCGCTCTGCTCGGAGCTTATCGACATATATGAAATTTGTAAATCTGTTATGCTATCTAGGTATGTATGTACCCGCCACACTATAATCAGTTGTGGTTAAAGGCTTTATTATTTTTCAGCTCGGCGTTTGAGCGGATAATATTAATTCATTACATTGCCCCGGATATACGTGTCCGACGTCCCCATGCACCTCTCCATGTCCTCTAGCGGCTGATAATACCTACGCCTACCCTTGTGGCTTATATACATTAGGTACCTCTTTACAGTCCATAAAACATCGACAAGTTAGCTGCATTAGTTGCAGCTATTCTAGCCAATAAATGGAACTACGTTTTCACGTCTTGATAATTGTTTCGTAGCTTATGTTCCTGAGGAATTGAGATATACGAACGTCACAGGTATTAAACTTGTACTTTAACTTGCTGTATAACGTATTTTAGAAATCAAGATCAGCCATATATTGCCATAAACCTCTATTCACACCAATTTGCTAGTTAGACTATTTAAAGCATAGGTCAAGGTATATGTCTGTGATAATGTAATAGAAGTTACTGGACCTTAAACGGTAAGTATATTAACGATGAAAACTTTAGACAAATAAAGCAGAAAGATGTAAGAAGACTGCATTTCGGAGAAGGTATAGTTGTACCCAAGTAAAGTAGAAAGGGTATGTATTATAAAGACATACATAGTTAAAAAAAAAGAAAACACTACAATATACAGATCAGAGAAGTTCAAAAAAGAATTCCGAATCGGGGAATCGAACCCCGGGCTCAGGAACGAGAATCCCGAATGTTAGCCACTACACCAATTCGGATATAATGAACTTGCCGTCATGCTTGTCTATGAGCTGTGCAAGAGGTTGACCGGATCTGAGAGGAAAGTACGGATAAAACCTTGGGGTTACGCTTAAATCATAGGTTTTTGGTGCAAGGCAACTACCCGATATACATGCCTAACATGTAGCTCTTGTTTGTACATAATTTAGCTTCACTTGCTAAGGATATTATGTAGGAATATGTTACACATAATTCGTTTAAAGATAGAACATAATACCATGTAAGTTAATAGAGTAGTAAACATGAAGTTTTTATAATATATGCCTCAACGATTTGCCATGGATACAGTAGCTTTCAAACTGACGGCGGGCAATTTATACGTATTTAACTACATGTATCAGGCACCTAGTATGTTTATAATGTCAGCAAGGAATCCCTATTGTCTTAGGGTATTCAGATATGAAAAGCCTTTATGCCTTGGGTACTTCATGTAGGTAGGTACCTAGGTACGCATAGAAAAATGTGTGCAGCTCTTGGGTTATGTACCATGTACCTACTCTATTCTATGTTGTAGACTGCTCGAGTATTGGAAGGTGCATTGTTGATTCTCAAGTCTTGTAGCCTTACAGGCCCTAATCAGTTCCGTTACCAGGTGACGTGGATCACCTGCCAACATATGTAACTATACCTGAATCCCACCTGGCAAGAGCACTGATGTGTTGAAATTTAAATCAGCATGAGGTAGGTGCGTACATAAAGTGTGTACGTACTTATGTGCATGGGCAGTATTTGCATAGGTACATAGAGGGCGTACCTGCCCTACATATCGCAGTTGCCTCGTAGTTGCTCAAGTTCCCCAGGAGACGAGGAAAGAACCTACTGATAAGTAAGGGGCACCTTCCCCAGAAACCAAAATTATTGCTCGTTGCCTGGCTGATCTTGCCTGATCTTACTGCTCCTTCCTGATTTTACTGATTTCACCTGGCTGATTCTGCCAGATTGATTCTGCCGGACTTCTCATTACCGCCCTCCAGAATTCCTATATAAACATGGCCACCTCGGCCCCAAACTGGAAACTTACCTCTCACTTTCCCATTACCTAACACAACAACAACAACCACCTTCATCATCCTACTTCATAGGTAACATCAAAGCTTAACCCTTAACTATTCTTCATGACTATTAGTCACCACAAACATGTATTACAATACATATTGTAATACATCTTTTCTTGTTCTTGTTTCTTGTCCTTCATCACTATCTCATCCTTGAAGGTTAACCTTGACTACCCCAACACTCAACACTTGAGACAACTTAACTATACTTCCTTCTCCTATTAATTACTACTTGTTAACTTCAAGTTATACGAGTCACTTGGAATAAGGCATTTTCATGATGCAGTCTTCGCGTCTTCTCGGAAGCGCGTAAACAAATATTATTACCAACATTCAATGCCCTTGGTAACCCTAAAACATCAATATGGTTGTCTAGCAACAATACCATGGCAACAGAACAAGTCAACAAAAAAATTGGAACAACAACAACAGTCTCGAACAATACTGGTAATTTCCTTCCTGACCTTCAATTCTGATCATCACACTCACCTAACATCTTCTCCTTAAGTCGTCATCATCCCACTGACTCCTAGCATCACTTGTTATTGAGACTACAGCCACTGTATCACTCAACAACAGCATTCCGTTGATCTCTTTTCCCAGACCGCTCTACTACCATAGGAGGAAGTACCTGTCACAAGCTAGCATTATACAGAACACCAGCGTCTGCGTGACTGCTAATGGCTCTTCTGTGCTGCGACTTCGCCTCTTGCTTGTCAGTCAAGCGTGTCCCTGACACTGCATATTGCATAGCAACGTGATTTAATGTACGGAGGAAAACTCTTAGGGTAGTAGAATCGGTGGGGATTGAGTCAGAGGTCTGCATGCTTGATTGATGTGATTGCAGTGTCTGTTAGTCGATATGACCTGTTGATCCTTGAGTGTGGTTGACTTGATGGAAATCAAGACGAGATATTACGATGCCCCATGCATCTTAAGGTAAGAATCCCCCCTGAAAACATTCCCCTTGTTATTACGCTTCTGCCTCCCCTACTTTCCCGCTTAATGGGTGCTGACTTTACACAGCCAGAGGATATGTGCACTTGACTGCCTGGTAGTGGACTACAAGGCCCGGCAAATATCACATCTGCCGCTCCGGGTTGTAACAGGGAAGAGATTTTCTACATGTAGTGAGTACATCATCAACCTTGCAAGGCAATGATCATTGTAATTTTGACGCCACTAACCGCATGGCCTATTTAAACTAGGCCAACCCTGCAGAAACAGAGCAGAATAAATCAGCTACCTAGGTACCTAGGCATTAAGATTACGAAGCACTATTGCAAGAAAAGTCGCTACAGAAAGGCCAAAGGTGTCACAAAAACAATGTTGGATGACGATAACTACCAAGATAAGCTCAGTTCAACACCCAAGGTGATGGGGCCCTTGTTTAACTACTACCAATAATAAGCCTTGCGCAGCAACCAAGTGAGATGATCTCTACAAGAGACTATCCTCAGGCAAAAAGAAGCAGGAGAAAGAGCAGGAGCAGGAGCAGCATGAGCTGAAAGGCAAGGGAAAGGGGGATGGGAATAAGGATGTGAATGGGGGAGATGGGAGTGTTGTTTTCACTCATTGGAATATGGATTGCTGCAAGGATACTGGGAAGTTTATTAGTAGAATAGTATGAGAAGCTGTCCACGACTCTTCTACCATAATAAAGCAAGCCCGTACAACTTATGCACGGTCCTTATGAATTTTATAAGTGGAGGAATAGCATGAAAACTTCTTCATTTTCAATATAATGGTTTTCTCTATTTGTACCCGGGTACATTTGAGAGGCAACAGGTACTCATTGAGAGGGGAATAAGATACGGCTTATGTTTTATGATAACGTTAAAGAATACCAAAGTAATAAGTGTTTCTCGGAATGATGTTGGATTATTCCTTGTCCGCCTAGATAGTCTGTTTTGTTTGTATGACATATCCAAAAAGAGCATCGTGAATAGTACGAGTGCTCCTATCCTAACCTCGACCTAATACCCTCAACTCGAGTATACTATTGCTATGAATTCGAGTTACTTGACCATTCACCCTAGGGTTAATCTGACTGCTGCCTCTTTCTGAACTGTAACATTGGGCCACGTCGCATTGAAACATACGCGTCAGACAGCTGGAATTGCTTGCTATCGCGTGCGCCCCATCCATATTCGGGTCTCCCCGACCCCAACGTAGAGCCTGGTTCCCTCCTGACATCAAACCGGTGAAGAGTCCGAGCGATTACAATCATCATTTCCATCATTGCGAAGTTTTGTCCAAGACACCTACCAGGTCCTCCGGCAAAAGGGTGACTACCAGACCGCGCCCTATTCACGTCCTTCTCCGTTACACCCGTAGCCTCGTCTACAATCCAGCGCTCAGGACGAAACACTTCAGGGTCGCCGTAAACCTCCTGATTACGGGATAGTGCCCAGTTGGTCGTACCAACATTGATTCCTGGTGGAAAATACTCTCCTTGGATCTCGATCCCTCCTGAAAGCACTTCTCGGGGAAGATCGCTAGGGAGCGCCGGAGCAAGACGCATTCCCTCTTCAATGCACGCCCGTAAGTATACTAAAGAGGAAAGCTTGGGTCCGTACACAATATCGTCAGTGGATTTGAACTCCGTACGAATTTCCTGAACAAGCTTCTGGTAGCGATGGCTGTCGCCTGTTATGTAAAATAATATGCCAGAGAGGCTGACAGATGTAGTATCAGACCCGGCAATAATTAATAGGTTGGCCTCCGCTCGGAGCTGGGCCTCGTTATACGCTGGAAGGCCAGTGTCGGTGTCACGGGCTTCGCACAGAAAATAGAACATATCCTGGCGCCGCTCGGCTTCCGGTTTCTCAGCCTGTTCCTGATGCAAGGCAATCCTCTTAGTGACACTATCATGAATAAACTGTTTATATTGTCGGATAGGTGGTGGTGTCAACAAGGCGAAAAGCTTGTCCAAGCCCCCACGCTTTAGCCAAAGAATGTAATTACGAAAAGGAGAGCGGCCAATCTGCAAGTACCCAACCATTAGCACGGGCTTAATTATAGAAGGGCAATGTGATGAACTTTACCGAATTACTCAATTTCACATAATCAGAAATGCTGTGGGGCACGGTTTTCAGGGGGTTGGCGCCAGGTTCCTTAACATTGAAAGACTTCCCAAAACTGAGATCCCCCATGATATCGAAGACTAGACCGTCTATCTTCTCCGAAATGTCAACCGCAGGCGACCAACTGGAATCGTCGTCCTCAATAAGAAGTTGGTTCCAACGGTCCAAATGCTGGATAACGAAACTTGACGCGGCGCGCACCGAATTCTCCGTGAAAGCGAGGCTAAGGAGCTTTCGTTTCCGCGCATGTTCGGCGACGTCAAGCGTAGCAATCGTTGTAGCTTCGGAGCCATCGACTTGGGCATCTTTGTAGAACTCGCTTCGTCGTACATTTGATTTCAGGCCATATATATCCGCGTAAGCTGCAGGGTTGTTGAACAGGACTGCGTTTGGCTCCGGGCGTATCTTGTCGCCATATATCTGAAACTGTTGCCATAGCCAGACATGCCGGTCACCTCGGTTTGCGTGGTACCACGAAGGTATTTGACTTGCTCTGGCAAGAAACGGACCGGGGATATTGGCCAGGGGGTGAAAGAATAGGTTATATACGACATTTGCTAGGTACTGTATGTATTCGTTCAGTCTGGGTTATTTCTTTGAGAGCCAAGCACGTACTACGAGAAGACTAATCACAAAAGCCGCTATGAGCCATTCCATAGGGCTCATGTTGCGAAGAGACAGAATCAACATGGCGATAGTAGATCTAAGTGCGAGTAGCAGTGTGTTGATTGAGGTTGTAAGTTAGATCTATAGTATATATAGTATATATATAGTAGAGAGAACCCTTTATATAAACGCATAGCTACCTAATTAAGTAACACCAAGATCCCACGTTATCATAGCCAGATCTATGACATCAAGTATATTACCTACATATAAGACATATATGCTTGTTAGCAATTGCGGCGTCGTTCTCGCCACAAAGAAGGTCACCCGCCGGCCTGTTATGGCGTGCAACCGACACATACATTAAATATAATATGTAGCGTAACCTCAACTTAACCCTAGGTTCGCAGGAGTGGCTTCCTGGTTCCAATCAGAGATGTCAACTGGTGATACCTATCCGTCATCCGCCATCCGCCACAGAAAAGCAAAAGGGAGCATTGCTAAGCGCTAGATGAGACAATCGCGATCTAAGATGTCTTTTTATTAGGTACGTCTGAAACAAAGATAGCAGAGATAGCAGAGCTTGTGATAAAGGACTTTGTTTAGACCGTGAAGAGCCGCGGATACGTCCTTGGGCTGTCGGTTAGGGCGGCGATATGTCTAATATCTATCGAAATGCGTAACTGGCCCCAGAGCAATAATAAATAACCAACCTCCAACCAGAGATTTAATCTAGAGGGCTAGAGGTTGTACCAACAACACTTCAAATTACCGGTCTCTGCACCCTGTGCTTTTTCTAGGTATATCTTCAGGGCAAGACGCCATTTTCTTATAGTAAATCTTCTTAAATCGGTAGGGGGAATAAAAAAGGATGACATACTCATCAACTATTAGATGAGAATTAACAACTAATAGAAAATAGAGGGTTAGAAAAGGTCGGCATACATGATAAAACACCTTAAACAGGCCGTGGGACTACTTATGGAAAAGGGGCGCGCACCGTACCTTAGTAAGAATATGCATAGAAACCAGGCCTCCCCCTTCGTCCATGAAGGTCAACTACCTGGTCAACCAAGCCACATTTACGGCTCGTATACCTATCATATAACTCACAATATTTAAACTAGGTTATTTGCCTAACGGATACTTGTCGTTTAAGTATGCTTCACTGCATACAAACAGAAGGCGTAAGTAGGCTCTCCTATACAAACACTAGTTATTACCTATCCTACCCCTTTAAATATTGTGACGACGTAGGAACATCCTATCTTCATTCCTTACATAATCTCTCACCATGTTTGCTCTTATTTGCATCCACACAATAACCTTATATATAATACATCATCCTTTACCAATATATCTGTATAGTCCCGACCTTCCATATACAAACCTATATATACATGCTGAGATAGTTGAGTACCTAACCTAGATATGTGCCTTATTCCGTTTAAACCCGTATCTCGTTCATCCATTATATGTCCAGATCCATATATACCTAGCCAGTACAAAAATGTGCAGATATGCATACATACAATTCGCTGCCACGCATTCACTGCCACGCAGAAGTTGGGGGGTGATTAGGATCTTGCATTGGCGTCTGATTCGCGTAGGCCGTCATCTGGGGTGCGTGGGCGATGAATCCGCCGTATTCCTGCATCAAGTAGTTCCAGTCCATCTCGCCGCCGAAGTTTACGTCCGGGAATGCGTTCGCGAATTGCCGGTTCATGTCCATCTGTGGCATGCCACCGCCGAATATGTCGGTTTCCGGGTATATGGGTATAGTACCTGGTACGTTCGGTTGCTCTGGTGGCGTCGGCGCCGTTGCAACGTAAGCACCGCTTATGACAGGGATCTTGGGCGAAGGCGTCGGTACCGGTGACTTCCTTTTAATCGTCTTTGGTAGTCGAGCCACGATTTGTCTCATGTGGGTGATGAGGCGAGGCGGTGCTAGGGTACGTCCGAGAGCGGCTTCTGCGGCCTCGCGCGCGTCCCACGCCTTTACAAAGAGAGGGCTGAAGGATAGATGCATAGGACTACGCATGTGAGATGTCATCTTCCTCCGGTCAGCGTGCTCGCAGATGGTTTCCCACGCACGCTCGCATAAGTCACCCGTCGTACGATGGCGGAGCTCGGTAAGCAAGCATATATAAGCCGGGAATGGGAAATGCATATTAGTGTACCAGAGGAAGCCCCGTACACTTTCTCTTGCTTGCATCATGGTATCATACTCGACCATCTTAATCGCCTCGATGAAGAGTTCTTCCCTCTCGGCCGTCGGTAAGGGAGCAGGTGCCGTAAGTGCAACACGGAAGAAGCCGGACACTATCTTTAGCTTACAGATATTCGCTCGCGTCATGAGAAGCGTCATGTAATGAAGTGGGACTTTAGGGTCGCAGTATTTCAGGTAGGTATCCTCCATATGGGAAGAAAACCGTTCGAGATAGCTCGACAACCGGTGGTCAGCAACGCTTGCAACCGCTTGGGGATTCGTTTCTGAAGATTGCCCTCTCATCTTATCGTTTCCTGGCGCCTTGGCAAACTCGAGGCGTGCGAGAGAGAAAATCATCTCAGTCGCGCCGGTATAGGGTGGAGGAGGGTCTTTCGCGTGTAAATGTAAGTTGGCGTCGTCGATGTTGAGCGGTAATTTGCAGTTACCCCCATTGGATATGGCAGTGATGATGGAACCACATAGTTCTCCTATTCGTCGGTCAAATCCGGCGAGGTTCCACCATAGTCGTCTCCTCTCTTCCACCTCGAATGGAGATAGATTAAATTGAGCACCGTCACGATGCAAACCCATCCTCTGGGCAAGGCGTACACCAATTCCAGTTAAGCAAAACAATGACCGGGGGTCCGAATATTGTCGGATACCAATCTGATATACGTCAGACCTAGGACCTCAAATGGACGAGGCGATTTTAATCTTACAAGATATAAAAGGTAAGCTTGCAGCAAGGTCAGATCCGGGTTGCGCATAAAGCCTGCGTTTAAAAGGGCTTGCTGTGTAGCATAATAATACTTGGCCAGCAGGTTGATTCTCGATTCGTTAAACGTGGCTTGACATTCTTCTTCATCTATACTTGTGATAGCCATTAGGTAGATTGAAAACATTAACGCTTCGAGGGACCTGGACACCTTGTCGAGGCTTGCTCCGGCTTCGATAATCCGCACTTGCAATGTTGGTGTATGGGTAAGCTTGAGGAGAGGGTTAACATTATTTAGGTAGATCTGCCATAACTGGAATATTTGGATGGCGGATGGATGCTGCGAGGTGACGCTTTCGAACTGACCGCCGACTACAAAGGGGAAGCCATCAGGGCTATCAAACATCTTGTCGTATGCTTGATTGATGGATGACCCAACGTCCTCTTCATCGGATGAGTCTCTAAGTGCTTCATCCGTTGCTCGGAACTAGATCGATGTTAGTATAGGGTGACGAAATAGGGAAGAGAAAACTACTAGCCTCCCTCTGGAAAGGAAACCATTTGAAAGTCCTAGTGCGATAAATGGTTAGTCAAGGTACCGGATGAAACGTTCCCCGCCGATCTGAGGGCGGTTAGGCCTACCTGGGAACATGGGCGGTCTCGCCGGGTGATGAGATCAAGTCAGGGTCCACACCGGCTGGAGACTCCTTACTCCTCTGCCTTATGAACTCGGACTCCAGCTCGTCACCGTCTTCAACGGAGCCGGGGTCCACAATCTTGACGTCCGGGCCTAGCGAATCAAATTCGATACCGTTCTGGGCCAGGAGCGCTTCATATTTCCGCAGACGCTCAACCAAGTCTCGCTCTGGGACGCGCTTCTTGCGGCGCCTAGGTGGTTGAGGTGGCACAACGCGGCATTCGACATTTGCCTTTAGGCAATTAGAGCAGGGTTTGCTCTTGTCGCAACGTACCTTACGCTGCTGGCATAACACACAGCTATGCCCTCTGGTAACTTTTATCATAGAAGCGTCTTGATTTGGGGGCGTATAGTTAACCGAGGAGCCCGCAGGCGGCGTGGGCTCATTGCTCGCCGAGCCATCACCAAGCTGGGACTCTGGGGTCGGGGGCATGGTGAACGGGGTTTTTTTTTTCAGTCGGTCCCGAGGACGACGGGTTCTTACACCGCGAGCAATAAGCGTGCAGACAATTGCCGACGAGCTAACGATTAACAAAGCTCAACTAGGACTCGACTAGGTAACCAAAAAGTGACTCTGTTCCACATGGGACGAAAAGCCTCAAGACCGGGCGCGAGCATTGATTGGCAAGCAGGCGCGAGAACGATGGTGTTGATGCGGGAATTTCGGGACCGAGAGGGAGCACGGGCAATAAAGAAAAAGGGACGACTGGGAGATGTCGCGAGCGGGCTCGTGCAGGGTCTTTAGCTGCTGTGTCGCTTCTGGAAATTAACAGATGAGACGGGGGGTTAGAGATGATAGAGGATGGGCAGACCAGACCACACCATTCAACCCCATCTAGGCTTCTCGATGAGAAAAAAGGAGGGGGGATAGATATGCAGGTCAAATCAAAGGGGAAAGATGTGTGCGTATTTTCGTTACAGTAGGACTTTAATTGTGACCTTACTATGTAAGAGGCGGAACTAGGAGGGTATCGAATTGTGTATGGAATTGTGCAGATAAAGGTGCAGACAATTGGAATATAAAGACCAGAACAGTCCTTGAGCTTGTTTGAACTTGTTTAAACTCGTAGAAAAGGGGGATTTAAAGATTCACTGTCCATTTGAATCCCAGAGTGCAACTATTACAGGTATGTTACGGATACAGTGGCTATTGTTTGCGCAGGTAGACGAAGATAGACCATGAGGATTTAAAGACGATTCAAGATAGATATTTCTGGGGTTATTCTTCAAGTTAATCAGGTTATTCTGGGGGTTTGGGGGAGGGGAGTATAGGGAATGTACAATAAGTCTGGGGGGCAGTAATAGAACTTCCTTTGACAATATGTCAGGATGTTAGGATGTCATGTGGTGGATGAGGAAACCGATTTGAGAAAAAAAAAAAAAGAAGTTTCGCATCCTTCGAACCCAATCCATTCATTCATCGGCTTACTACCCCGGGCCCCTCCATAATCAACGGCGGTAGGCAGTAGACAATGCCGCCGACAGGGTTCAGCTGACAATTGAGCCATGACAGTGTAGTTTCAAAATAGGTGGTAGCCTCGTAAGTCTCGTAGATGCTAAACACCGATCACCGACAAAGCTGGATGAGTTAGCAAACCAACCTGTCAAAAACTTTTTGATAGGAGATTTGATAGGATAGAATAACCTGTTTGTCGGGTTGTAGTCTGCAAATTGCAATTCTCGTTGTTAGCGTTGCTTAGCGCTCGGCGATGAAATATCAGATTTCGGGACCGAGAACGCCGCTTGACCTTTAGTCAGTACATACGAATACATAGGTACTTAATGTATATACCTTATGACATGTTGTTAGCTCAGCTTTTGGTGCCATTCAGTATTACAGTCATTGTAACACAGACCCACTTCGGACAAATCGCCTCGGTCCTCACCTCCTCTTAAAAGTTCCGCCCGAAAAAGCATAAGAACTTTGTATCACGTGGCAGGTATCTTTTATGTTCATTTTCTCCAAAGTGATTTAAAAGCTGCTCGGTTATATCTGCGCCAATTCGCTCCCGAACTGCGTGCCCGTCTCGGTGCTCCCCAATGCCCCCGGTGTAGAGAAAGAATGTCAGTATCCAGTATCCACGAGGAAAAGATGTGGGTTTTCGTATATCCAACGTGTAAACCACATGGCTGTCCGGCCGTCTTATGTTGTCCGTCCTACTCGACAGACAGCCTATGCCAGCCAGGGGGCTTGTTTTCATGGCTTGTTTTTATGTAGTTAATACTAGAGCATACCTTACCTACACACACACATATATATATGCATTCCTTTTTATCCCTAGATTCAAGGTTTGCCGAACCTAGTGTTGTCTTGGACCAATTAGAGAAATAAGGGGGGACTACTTACTTGGATCCTCCCAGCTTCGCTTTTGTCCTTTCTCATATTCATCCCTTCTATTCTCCCCATCCTTGGACCCATCCTACATTTATCCTCTCGGAACTCCATGGCCGAACTGTCACGGAAGACATCCGAGGCAGGTGGCCCTTCAGTGGTGGCCATGCCCGACGATGTAGAGAAGACGACCGATGCCAAGCCGGCGCGGCCTGAGCTTGTTGACGAAGCTGAGGAGAATTTCCAGCCAAAGACTCTAAAGTTCTGGTCTGTTATGGCTAGTATATATATTACTCTATTCTTAGTTGCTCTTGATCGGACCATTATCGGTACAGCGATCCCCCGGATAACACAAGACTTCAATAGTTTGGGGGATATCGGTTGGTATGGCTCAGCGTACCAGTTAACAACCGCAGCGTCTCAGCTGGTATTCGGTAGAGTATACAGGTTTTACGATATAAAAAAGTATGTTTATAAACTCTTTTAAAAAAAAAGATACGCGCGACATAGCTAACATTTATTTGACAAGGGTCTTCTTATTCGTTGTCGCGGTTTTCGAGATCGGTTCCGTCATTTGCGGCGCGGCTCCAAATTCGATCGCATTTATTCTTGGCCGCGCCATCGCCGGCTTTGGCGCCGCAGGTATATTCACCGGTGTCTCCATCATCATGCTTCCGTTGGTACCTCTCCGAAAGCGACCGATGTTTCAAGGAATCTTCGGAACTATCTTCGGAATCAGCTCGGTCATGGGTCCTCTCATAGGCGGTGCTTTCACTGATCGCGTTACTTGGAGGTATATATTTTCTTCTTCTTTTTTCCATTCATTGGAATAAGCTAACGTTGGAATGACTAGATGGTGTTTCTATATCAATCTCCCTATCGGTGGTGTTGCAGTATTATGTCTTCTAGCTGTGAAACTTCCGACGAGACCACCAGAGCCAGCAAAATTCTGGGAGCATTTTACTCGATTAGATCCTCTAGGAACATTCTTCTTTGTCCCGAGCATCGTTTGTCTCTTGCTTGCACTCCAATGGGGCGGGTCTACGTATGAATGGAATAGTTGGCGCATCATCCTTCTGCTGGTTCTTTTTGGCGTCCTACTTCTCGCCTTCATGGCAGTTCAGGTGCTGATGCCAAATACTGCGACTATCCCCGTTAGAATCATCAGCCAACGTAGCGTCGCTGCCGCGGCTACTTTTATGTTCTGCGTCGCTGCATCGATGATGATGAGTGTTTACTACCTGCCGTTATGGTGTAAGTTATCCCCCTCAACCTAGATTATCCGATAACATCGTATGCTTACATTAAACTACAGTCCAAACTGTACAAGGCGTGAGTGCTGTGCAGTCCGGTATTAACACGATAGCCCTCGTCCTAAGTCTCGTCGTGGCCAGTATTATATCTGGTATCTTCACCCAGAAAGTCGGATACTATGTTCCCTCGATGCTAGTCTGCCCTATGGTTATGGCTGCAGGGCAGGGCTTGATGAGCACCTTCAAAGTTGACGAAGATTCTCCTCACTGGATTGGATACCAGATCATCGTCGGTTTCGGGCTAGGCCTGGGAATGCAAACGGCTGGCCTTTCTGCGCAGGCTGTGCTTCCCAAACCCGATATTCCGACTGGTATCGCTCTCATGTTCTTCTGCCAGCAATTAGGCGGAGCCGTCTTCGTGTCTGTTGGCCAGAACCTTTTGAGCAGTTACATTGTTGGGCATGTGACTGATATCCCCGGCCTTGATCCTAAGGAAATTACCAACCAAGGCGCCACGGATCTTGTCAACAAGGTCCCGCCCGAGTATAAACTTAAAGTAAAAGAACTTTACAACGGGGCCATCTCAAGGATATTCCTATGCGGTATGGGTGTGGCACTTGTTGCCTTGGTAGCGGCTCTTTTCATGGAATGGAAAAATATCAAGAAGACTGGGCCGAAAGGTCCACCAGGAGCGAGGCCCTCTGAATCGAAGGAGAATGACTCGACCTCTGCAGGGGAGGAACAGCGAAAATCCACTTCACAGGACGCAACAGCGAACGCGCTGCGACATTCAATTCAATTAGACGGAGACAAGCGAAAATCCAGCGATTAACATCATCGATCTCAGGCATCGCCCCGTCCCAAAGATGTTCCCGAGGGGCAAGTTAACCGCTTAGAAGATTGAATATCTCTTGGAATAGAAATAAACAGAGCGTTGTGGACGAAGCTGTTATAATGATGAGCCCAGACCTCTCTAGATGCTAATATATTGGTTGTGCTATAGATAAATAGGTCGGGCTAGAATTGGATGGGAATAGATGGACAGTTGGATACTACTTCGTACTTTGGAAGTATATATGGCAATAGTATTGTTAGAATTACCTTAGATAGATATTGATAATAAGTCTTGAACCTAGAGAGACCTAATAAAGTTAAAATATGTAGAAAGCGCCACGTCTGATGTTGTAAGCTTATTTGCTTCATGCGGTAGCATTTTCTTACCCTTCGTTATAAAGGTATTACGTGGGTTCGGGTGGGTACTTGCGGTATGATGTGCTTTGCACGATCTTGCTACTATTTAGGTAAATCTATTAATGAATAGCCTGTCTAAAAATAGATGACTATTGTTGATGCTTAGTCAAATACCCCCTAAGTCTTGGCGCAGTCCTTACAGTATAACACAGCGAGCATCTGGAACCTAGCTTGTAAGTTTATCTGTGCTGTCCACTTTACATAATAGCAAAAATTAACCCTATTTTTTAAATGAGACACTACTACGTACAGATCTCCAGTTAGGTACTTCCGTCGTTTGATCCGTATTAATATTCCCGTCGTTTTCACCTGGTTTTTAGCTACATTGTCGACATTATAATTAAAGCCCTGAGACTTGAATTTTCTCCGCAAACTTCGGATTGGTCGATCATTTAATACGAGATGATCATGCCCCAGTTTCCATACCTTTGTACAGTTAGTTTACGTGGGGGTTGACAAGGAAAATATTCGTTCAGGGGCCGCTAATCTGGGTACTAGCGATGTTCTGTAGCGGGCCGTGATAGCATCCCATATAAGCTCGTTATCTACGAGAGATGCATTTCCAGATCATCCATAGTTTGTTTCGATCCTTTTAAAATATAAGTTGCTAATGGAACCTTGATGCTTGGTCTCGATGTGGGTTTTAGCCAGTAATCGTCTTGCCTGCCTATGTATGGATCGTTCCATTAAGATTCCTTCGCTACCATTAATGACCCTGTCCCTGACCAGCTGAACTCTAGATGGACAACCAACCCAACGTTTCCGCGGCCGTAGAGGCTGATTCCATTTTCTCCGTTTATTTCTTCTAGAAATCTTTAAATACGGCTGTCGAAGAAGCCGCATTTGTAGGGACATACCTAGATCCTCTCTTCAAAGAGTATGCAGTATGGCGTACGCACCAGTCAAACTTAGCCGAACTAGCAGACCTGTTTGTCGTCATCATGTTTATTCTTGAACTAGAGTCTATGATTCCAAAGAAGTTGATGGGGAAGAGCGGGAGTAACCGAGGAAGACAACTATATCGTTAGACTAAGATAGACCGGGATATGTGCTCACGCAAAGGTCGGACAGAAACATCCGGGCCTACTATTCTCTACATTTCTTCGATAGTTTAGCTCGACGTAATACATATAGACTTACGTAAGGTTTTAAGTAGGATGATAATATCGGTCGAGATACGCAGGTGTTAGTCGCTTGCTTCGGGTAGAAGCTCTCAAGTAGTTTAAGCATTATTGGGTATTAGATATAAGAGGTAAACTAGCAACCTCTCATGTCTATTGGTTATTGGTCATTGGTCATTGGTCATTGCAAACCACCACACGGGCTTACTACGGGGCCAGCATAACATTCTACCTGTCATAAGGTGCCAAGCTGCCCTCCAGCCCCAGCACTACTACATAGGAGGTAGTATACCAACCCGCACCTCATGCAGCTCTTTGCCGGTTGCTTGGTAAGGCTGGAGATAAAAATGGAACGGCTACATCAATCCCGCCAGATCAGACCCCGATATACTTAGTCAGGATGAGACCCCCTTATGCTACCTTACAATTCGAGGTAAACTAGCTGAGTTAGTACTTCGCGGCACGCCATCATGTTATTTTTTGCCAAAGTCTCTATTTCTTATCCCGAAATGGAAATCCTGGCCAAAAGAATTGTACGGGACGGGATTAGGTGGTTCAGGCAAGGGGAGGGCATACGATCGGCGCACAGGACCGGATATGAATGGGGATAGCTCGGTACTTTTTTGCCTGCGCCATCGGGATGAAATACGTGATCCCGTATCATCAGACCAGCATAATGAAGTATGGAAATTCCATACTCTCGCAGGTGAGATTGGCTATTCGTAGGGAATAAGGGGAGGCTTGGAAAATGCGGTAATGCGTATAATAAATACCTACGACAAAACGCTCTCGCATTCGTCCCTTCGGTTGTCTATATGCATAGCACCAATTAACAAATTCAAGAAAGTTGCTCAGGATCATTGGCACCCAAGATTGTCACCCTCCAAGTTCAAAAAGAAAAAAAAAGGAGGATTACACAACCGCATACTCTATTGATCTGTATTATTCGATCTATTACCATAAGCCGCCGTTGACTATGACACCTACCCAGAAACCCCAATGGGAAACAAGTCCAACCCCCTCGGGCGACGACATGATCGACCCGGCGCTGTCATTAGACAGTACATCGACAGCTACAACGTCAACCAAGCGCAAGAGAGCAAGCAAGCCTAAGGTTCGAACAGGTTGTATTACTTGGTTAGTCTATCGACCTCGAGAGAATTCTTGATCATCTGCTAACTCATTCCGTATAGCAAGTAAGTTTATTCATTATTATATTTAACTAGGCACATATCGAACGAAGACTCTCTCTTGTCTATATCTCGCTTCGATCCTAATGCTAGGTACTCCTGTTACACTTAGTATATGTATCCTACATTTCACATCTATTTATTCTCAATACGATCCCAGAGCTAATAGAAGCCAAGCTAATCATCTCATAACAACATAGGATACGGCGCGTAAAATGCGACGAGACCAAACCGTCGTGCACGCGGTGCACAAGTACAGGACGTAAATGTGACGGGTACGATGGCGCGCCGCCGCCACGGCCGAAGAAGCCAGCATCGTCCTCGCCAGATCAGCTAGCAACTCCTTTTCCCACACCGACCACCGCAACGGACGGGTATCCAGGACCGCGGCACGACCCGGCGCGAAATAGCCCCGCCGCAGCGTACCGGGGAAACCCGGCATCGCAGATCCTCCGCCCGCTGGCCGCTGACATCGAGGGCACGGAAGAGGAGCGGTTGTACTTCCACCGGTTCCGGCAAGCGGCGGAAGCCGGGCTAGCCCTGCACGCGTCCAGCCTCGGGGCGTCGTTCTGGCGCCGCCTGGTGCCGCAGGTAGGCCATTCGGATCCGGCGGTGCGGCATGCGTTGATCGCGCTGGGAGCCGCGTACGAAAGCATGCAGCTGCAGCAAGGACAGCATCAACAAGAGCAGAACTACCAAACGAAACAACCAGCACCGAGGATATCCTCGCGAAGCGACAGTCCAGCCGAAAGATCATACGTTTCGACACCGCCGCCCGAAGACACCTACCAGTGCGCGGATCAGTTAGAATTATTCATGATCCAACAGTATAACCTATCGATTTACCACCTACAACGACACGTGCAGCCGGGGTCGTCATCCGAAAGCGTCGAGACTACGCTTATATGCTGTTTAATATTCGTCTGCATCGAGACGTCCCGCGGCAACGAGGCTGCGGCGTTAGCCCATGTTGCTAACGGCCTACAGATCATTAAGGCTTTGCCGCCAGATTCGGAATTTGTGAATCATTCGTCGAGTTCCAGCAGACCCAACAACGGAAGCAGAAGCAGCAGTAATCAGGGGTATAGTGGTGGTGGTGATGGAGGTGGTACGGCTAGTGGCCTCCCGCCGCGAATATCACGTTCCGACTGGCGACAGCTTCTCGATTTCTTCCTTACACTCGAACCTAGCACCGCCAATCATGATTTCAGCACCAGCCAGCCAGCAAGTCCGTCATGTCCGCCCACTGCCACATGGGAGAATCCGCCGGAGTGGTATAGTGAGATGATATCGCAGTGGGAAATTGAGGCGGCCGAGGGAGAAATGAGGCATTGAATCCTGATACCAATAGTAATCTAGTGAATTACATAAAAAGAATCTACTAATATGATAAAACAATTGCTACAACTAGCTCTGGGGCATTGGTTAGTATGACCTTTTAAGTGCCAGGAAAAGCATTTTTCTTAGCATAGGTAGATTCGTATCTGCATCAAGAAGAACCATCTTAAGGGCTGTAAAACCATGAGTAAGAATTTCGATTTGTATCAGTCTTGGCGTAATCCAATGATACACTCCCTTAAGGCTCCAATCATTAATACATTAGTAACGGATCTCCCCCAAGGTAAAGGCTAGCGAAGCTATCCGGGGAAGTTATCGCAACAACGTCATGTAAGTGCAAGCGAAATAGAGCTATATCCCTTTCCTAAGTCAAAAAACACCCCATCCCAGCCGCACTCAAAGGGGTATCTTGCCAACAGAGGAAAAACAAAAGCATTAACAAAGGTTCTTAAACCCTTCCAAAACCCACATGCTGCCTCATCCTAAAACCCGATCATAATCGACCATTCACGATCTCTTTCTCAAAGATCCGAATACCGAAGATGTCGTAGAATGAGAAAGGCTCAACAAGTTCTAGTTTCACCCTTAACAATGGGTCATCATCCTCGTCCTCATCGCTCTCGCTCGTAGCACCCCATTCTACAGGTGCGACTGGGAAGAGTCCATTACCAACATGGTCTTGATTCGGGCTCGGAGCATGTTTCTTGTCTTTATTCGAGCCGACTTTTGACTTCCTAGGGACTCCTGATTTCCGGACAATTCTTACAGCTCGTTCATCGTCACCTAGTGCAAGCCACTCGAGTTTTAGCTCAGGGTGGAAAGAAAGAGCGTCAACTATGAAACGGCGCGTCTCGCGCATGACAGAAAGGCAAGTGTCCTCTGTTCTAAAAGAGATGAGCTGTAGTGCGCGGAGATTAGTAAGGCCAGCGATACGCTGAATTAAAGTATGCTATAACTATGTCGTTAGCAACAACTGTATAAGGGGATTGCTATTTATTAACGTATGGGGAAGTGATGCTTACAATTGCACGCATTCCCATTATCACGGCCAGTTCTTCAAGCACTTTTCCACGCCTGCAGATGTGCTGTATTGTTTTCTCATCCACATCCCATGAACTATCAGCTTGGTTCTTGATCATGAGACGTTTGAGAGAATGCATATCTGTAACATAAAGTCAGCAATTTCTAACCAGGGTCTTGCATAAGCCCAAGAGATGAACCGTAGGTAGGAGGTAAAATGACTCTGAATGGTACGTACGCTTCTTCAGGACAAAATTCCGGATTTGTTCGATAGTCGTGCCAGGGTTTGGCGCGAAGCTCTCCGGCTTGTACTTTGGCGACCGCTGAAGCATGAATACCTCTTTAACACAGTCAAGCTGGGAAACAAGGTGTAAGAACTGCAGACAGACATCGTCTGTAAAGACTTTTCGTAGTGGAAGCGGTCTCAGGCTATTTTCTTTCATCATCATTGCCCAAAATTTCTTTTGCTCGCCCACGTTGAGTAAAGTAATCCGCTTTAGTGAATGCAAATCTATAGCCTTCCCTAGCACCGAAGCCTTGATTGGTATAAGATGGATGCTGAGAGAGTGGAGTCCGATGCCTCTCGTGTCTCGTGCATATTTATTCACGTTGCTAAGATGCGTCTCCGTTCCGTTCGTAGTTAAGCTAGTTTGAACTGCGTTATCGCAAGGTACGTCTTCTACATCACAACCGGTACACTCTAAGTGCCGTTGAGATTTATCCTGGTGATCATCGTCGGCAGCGCAAATAGCTATGCATGTCTCCTTAGAGAATTTGTTAGCATAACCCTTCCATTCAGTCTCTACATCGTCCATGCTCCCGGCATTAAAGACTTGGACGACATCGTTCGGTTCTGTTACATTGGAGGGAATAGTGCTCACTTCTGCCGAGTTAAATAGTTCCTTTGGTGCCACTGTGTCGGTAGACGCTATTTCAATAATCCGTTGAAATTCAGCTGTCAATTGCTCCTCCGGGACTTCGATATCGATATCTTCTGGGTTAGCATCGTATGAATCCTTTGGTATTGATGGATATGGCTTGAGTCCAAAACTAAGTGGCTGGGACTCATCTGACTTGTCTATGTCAAGCCCTAATTCATGGTCTTTAGGCAACGGATGTAGCCCATCGTTAGTGGGTAGATCTCCAGACGAGGGACTAGGTTTGGATTTGGACTCCTCCGAAGCCACATATTTCTTTGCGGCCTTCGCGATTATATCCAAAGCATCCTGTTGTTCAATAGATGTAAAACCGCTGGTACCGTTGACATGCGCCACCATACGCTCGAAGACTCTGCTAACATTATCTATGAAATGTTGTCCGTTATCCGAAATTGGTTGTTCCTCAGAATCCTCTTTTTTTGCAATTTCTTTCTTGTTTTCGGTGGATAAGCGAGTATTCTTTGTGTGCGATGGCTCTACCTCGAATATACGGCCTAGTACCAACTCCTGAAGCTTACGTTCTTCCTGCGCTTGAAATGCCTTTGCAGGTCCGTTGTCATCGTAATTGGCGCTTAAGGATATGGGCATAACTTGAAATTCGTCGTCTTCGGATTCATCGAGCTCTGCATCAGCGCAGGGTTTTCTTGCTTGCATAGCAAGGCTATCTGAAAACGAAAGCTTCACCTTTCTCAGCGTCGATGAAGAATTACGTACGCAAACTTGAACCTCCGTTATCACGTCAAGGCTATCTATATCAAGAACGCTCAAACTTTCAAGGTTTCTGAAGCCTTCAATTGTCGAGGGTTCCTTGGCGGTAGATGGTTTCTTTGGAGGTTTATTTCTCCAAGAGGGTTTGTAGCCCAACGACAATGAGGATGGAACCGGAGGGGGCCCGTAATTGACCATAGGGTTAAGAAGGGTACTGTTCGAATTGGCCCATTGGGAGACTGGCATGACCATAGCATCGTCCTCAGAATGCTGCACATTAGAATCTGAAAAAGGCGGCGGAATCTGATGAATGGAGGTGCCGGCCTGTAAGCGTAAATGAAGATGTCTTAGCGACTTGATGTTATGCAGTGCTTTATAAACAGGCCTGCTAAGCTCAACTCTAATGTTCCATCGAAAGGTATCAAGTGACTGGGCCTTCCGCAGCGTAAGGAGCAATAGGGTGTTCATGAACTTCCCGCAGCTCACAGAAGCGAGGTACGGCTTATAGGCAAGTTCAGCCCTGTCACCAATACTAAGGGTATCGAGGGAGAGCTCCCTTAAGTGCTTTGCATAGTTGTAATCGCTTGCGACGAACGTCTCTAGACCACCCGCGAGACCATCAATGGGGGAATCGAAATATGGATCGTCTTCGTCCGGGAAGACGATGTGGAAATTACGATATAGCTGGGCGGCGGCAAGGTCGCGGAAACGCCTGCAGACTAGGGAAAGACGAATCCAATCGGATTGGAAGCACTAACAACATACCTGTTAGCCATGGACTCCACAAGTAAGGAATATATCATTGTGATCCGCGACCGGTGTTAGAACATACTTGGCTACATATTTCCTTCAAAATCTCGCCAGGTAAATCCAGAATATTGGATGCCTTGGGAGCTACTGGTAGAATAGAAATACTGGTGTTGAGTGCCATGATAGCTGCTTCGTGAGCTAACTCGTTATTTTTGACCAAGTAACAATTCCAGTGTAAATGACAAGTAGAAAAGCGTCTCGATTCGCCAATGTCCAGGTATCGGTGTTAGGCCCTATAACTATAACGATCCTTATCGACAATGTTGCCGGAAGACTCGAGGACCAAATCGACTATTATACCGCAATAGCACCTAGCACCTAGCACACTAATCGAGCAGCCTTAAGGAAAATCAGCCATCGAAATGATATTCGGAATAAATGGTCGTGATCTAGAATAGCGATTGCCGTAACCTAGAGTTATATGTAATATGCTGACTTGAGGGTCTTTGAAGCGCAAGTATGCGAAGGGGAGATGGAGGGGCAAAGATAGGTACTAAGTACATGTATCTGGCAAGGATGTGGAGAATGACAGAATGAATGGTATACATATGTGGAACTCTTACACTAGTGCAAAATAGTATTAGCCTTCTGTTGTTAAGGCGTTTTGTTTCAGGTTCCGGAGGTATGTTAGTGTTGCTTGTATGCATATTTAGCAATGAGGGGCCGAAGGATCGTCGCTCCCCGCTCGCAGGGCTGTGCTAGCTCTTATGTTTTGCTGCTGTTTGCCTGCTCTGCTGCTGCGCCTCGATTATCATGAAACCTTCAACTCTTCCAAGTATCATCACAACTCTCGCTATGTATTTAATTTCCCCGCCTCTATTTCCATTCATTTAATCGATTCTACACGAGTGGCCTTGTGTAGATTTATAATTGTTCTTTCTTTTTTCTGCATAGTTTCAGCTCCAATCAGCTCTCGATTTTTTATTAATATTTTCTACTAGTCGAGACCAGTACTATCTTGTTAATTGATGTTAACGCGCGCTGTCTGTTTAGTTCATTTTATATCTCGTTCAAACTAGTCATTTGAAAGCATTCCACATTGGCAGCTTTCGATATGGCTGACGTCGAAGAGCCTAAGTTTAACTCTCTTGCAGATCGGATCGCAGCTCTGAACGGCCAGAAGAACTTCACTGCTCCTCCTTCCACTAAACGACCTCCTCCCCCACCACCTCCCGGCGCCAGAAAGTCCACATCCCAAGCTCCAATTCCAAATGACAATGGAATCGCCCGTCCGCAAATTCCGCAAAACCCTAACCTACCTCCGCGACCGCAAAAGCAAAACTCACCCAGTCTACCCCGACGAACTAATACATCAGAGTCGGTAGCAGAAACTCCTTCAAGCCTCTCAGGGCGTGATGCGCCACCACCGCTCCCGAATCGTCGAAGCTCTACTCAACCATCGCCAGCTTTACCTACTCGTAGACCCTCGGCGCAACCATTGCATAACAGGAGAGGCTCCAACTCCTCCGAAGTGTCCCATATCTCAACCATTTCGAATCTATCGTTGAACCCCGTTTCCTCTCGCACAAGCACAACGTCGACCGAAACACAACCTACGCGACGAGTTCTCGCTCCATCATTCGACCAAGCCAAGTTGCCACCTCTCCCGCCATCGAGAAAGGAAAAAGAGGCACAAGCGGCCAAAGAAGCCGCAGAGAGAGAAGGGACTGAAGATACTAAGGCGCCTCTTCTATCAACCCGTTCTGCCCCGGTGGTACCCCAGACTGGTTCGCGACCCAGCTTACCACCTAGGCTACCCTCTAGGCCTACTCATTCACCTAGGCCTACTCATTCACAAGTCAGCGACAATCCTTCGGTAGCGCCACGTCGTCTTCCACCCCCACCTACAGGATTCGTACGTCCAGGAACGACCTTCGAATCCTCCCGAAAGCCTAGCCTGCCTGGCCCAAGACCAAGCAGTGAAGCTCCACCGCCAGTTCCAATCAGCTCGCGACCTACATTTGCTCAAATTGATGCAGTTGCCGTACGTACGAGCAATGACTGTCTACTCTGCCGAGATTTTTCAGCACCGGATAGCGTAGCTGCGCAGTACCCCAACCATTCGCTTCCTAGGCATGACCCGGTTGGCTATCTAGCAAACGCTTTATGCGGTCCGTTCCCGTCAGCTACTGACAAAGCAAGAGCCATTTTCACGTGGTGCCATCATAATATTGCTTACAACGTAGAGGAATTCTTTGGGAAATGCATCAAGGGTAGAAGCGCGGACGAAACCATCTTTTACGGTAAGGCCGTTTGTCAGGGTTATGCAGAAGTATATCAAGCCATTGCCAAACGCGCGGGGTTGCAATGTATCGTAGTAGGTGGTCACGGAAAGGGCTACGGCTATAAACCACTCGCGAAAGGCGAACGCCCTCCTCCTAAGGATGCTACAGGCCGTATGTATATTTCTAATGTTAACTCTTCCCTCGAAATGCACATAACCCTTTTTAATCCTACTTAAGGCTATTGTCTTGAAGCCCAAGTTTCTAGGGCTTCTTACAAGTAACGGTTACTGACAATTGGTTTTGTAGATGCCTGGAATGCTGTCTGCATAGATGACGGGGAATGGAAGCTCCTCGATGCATGCTGGGGTGCGGGCTCGGTAGGCAACGAGCAGTACAATAAGCATTTCACGCCTTATATGTTTACTCTGAGTAACGATCTCTTTGGACTCTCGCACTACCCTTCAGATGACCGGTATTTTTTCCGGAATGACGGTCGTATCCCTTCTTGGGAGGAGTATTACATTGGGCCGCTAAATGGCGAACCTGCTGAAGTTTTTGGCAATGTAACTGATGAGGGCATCTCCAAGTTTAACTTCAGCCCTATGGAGAAGCATATCCCCGTATATAGCGGTGGGATGGTGCGATTCCAATTTTCCAAGATATGCGAGCATTGGGACCCTGAGCGGCACGGCAGGGGTAAAAGCTATCTACTTCTCATGAAAATTCACGGGTTAGATGGCAGGAAGGAAGATCTGGTACCGGTAGAAACAGACGGGTTCTGGTGGTGGATAGATATCCCGGCAAGGGACTTGGGTGCTCCCGGCCAGACCATCTTCTTATATGCGCTGACGACACTCAATCAAAAGGACGCCAGAGGTGTTACGAAGGAAGAGTATTACCGAACAAAAAATAGCGGTTGCTATAGTATGAATTGGGGTATTTATATGAAATGGGAACTGATATAGACATAGACATTTGACCGGATCTAGGATGAAACAATTACTCTAATGAGCGGTATATACCCAGCAATAACACAAAGATTTTTAAATATAATGCCGTAGTGGTTATTTGCGTATTTTGCTATTTCGTCAGATTTATTAATTACCGTTGAGCGCCGAGCGAGAATGGGAACAAAAGAACTAGAGCAAAACGACATATGCAACTCTTACTACAGCGATGAGGGTTTTCAGCCTACCCTAGTACGAGAAACCCGCCTATTGTTCCTCTCTCCAGGAATAATAGAATATTCCCAGGCGGCTTTCTGTATTACCTATGTCGTGGTATCTAACATAAATAAATGTCTACCTAAGGTACCCAAACAATAACATCATCCGCCGCTGCCCTAAAGTATAAATGCCGGCACTTGGGGGCCGTCCCGGTCCACTTTGGGGTTGTCCCGTGGGTCCACACGGAGTAGAGGCGGCGTCTGCCGCACGTCGGGTTTCCGATATGGAGGGGCAGTCTCGAAATTGAGGTCAATATTCGTCAAATGTGTTGGATAATAAGAATCATAGAGCAAATTATAGAGCAAATTAACAGTAATAGATATTAAATGGAATTGCTAAATTCATTTACAAATTATTCACAGGCCGACCTCGGCTCGCGATGATCTCTTTCTTAGTCAGCAAAAGCTCGGAGATCCGTTCGTTATTCAGTTCGTTTGTTTCTTGGCGTATTAAAAACTCGAGCTCTTGTACATAGCTCCCTTCCGTCCACCAATACCTATTACCTAGTTTTCTACCACGAAGGATTGTACACCTTCTTATGGCTCAGCACACCCAATTAAGTCCGCCATAAAACTAAATTTGCCATGGGAATAACACGTCCGGGTTACCGGAGCATACTGCTCCTTTTGGGGCTTGCTTTCGCATCTGGTGTCGCAGCCAGCCTCGGCTCCGAGAATGCGTCGCGTGCCTCGTTGAGCTTGGACGAATTGGAAGAAAAGCTTCAGGTTCGATTTGCTCAATGTATCATCTTCGGATAGTATACTAATGTAGAGCCTTAGACTTGTTCGGTTGTACAAGAGCTCAACGCTGAGAAGCTTGCTGACGCTTCCGAAACCTCGACCTTAACCTCCCAGATATTCGCCGTCTTATTCCCAGGCAGCCCCGCCGTAAACGCCCTTTTAGCAACCCTTTACATCTCAGGTCCGCCCAACTTCCTATTAGCACTATGCCCGCCGAATATCGATCCTTCGTCGCTGTCGGTCATGGTGGCATTTGCTGTAGGTGGATTGCTCGGAGATACGCTGTTCCATTTACTACCCGAGATCTTTCTCGGGGAAGACAGTCCCGAGCATGTCCGGTTCGTCCTTGTTGAGCCCAATCGCAATCTCCTCTTGGGTGTTGCTATCATGGTCGGTTTCATGACGTTTGTAGCTATGGATAAGGGATTGCGAATAGCCACGGGCGGAGAAGGACACGAGCACAGCCATGGAAATCACTCCCATGATACGCCGGCGGAGACCAAAGCTATCTCGACCTCTGTAGATGTCCCAAATGCAGAACTCACAAAACGGAAAAAGGGTAACAAGGAGGATTCAAAGGTCGACAAACAGGAAAGCGAAAAGGAGATCAACCCCAGCGCTAAACTAGGTGGCTATCTCAACTTGATGTGAGTTTGGTTTCAGCAGCAGAGCCAGGATCCTCCAGATTACTTATTCTTGCGTATAGTGCCGACTTCACACATAATATTACTGACGGTCTAGCAATGTCGGCATCGTTTTATGCCTCGCCTACAATTGGCGCTACGACGACGGTAGCAGTGTTCTTCCACGAGATTCCTCATGAAGGTTGGCAGTCCTCTTTCCCGAAGTCTCCTATTTATGATGAATACTAACCCGCTTCATCTAGTTGGTGACTTCGCTCTACTCGTGCAATCCGGATTCTCAAAGCGTGCTGCGATGGGTGCTCAATTCGTCACGGCCCTAGGAGCTCTTCTGGGAACGCTAATTGGCATCGCCGTTCAAGAATTTGGTGGTGGCGGCGCAGACGGCAATGGAATCGGTATAACTGAAGGCATTTGGGGTACCAGCCTTACGTATGGCGACCTGCTGCTACCGTTCACCGCCGGAACGTTCCTATATGTGGGTACGGTCGCAGTAATTCCAGAGTTGCTGGAGACTGGTTCTAATAAAACCCTGGAGTTCCGGAAGATGCTTGTGCAGTTTGCCGCCATCGCTTTAGGCGCTGGGATCATGCTTTATATCTCATGGGATTGATTTTGGATTTAACGGCATAGATCGGGTGAACTATAGAATGGGGCCGAATGTCGACTGTATAAGTTGACATATTTATAGAAAGGACCTGCTTACTATGAGTTATAAGTGAGGGACAAAAAGGTTACTATGGTTCATGTTTGTCAGTAAATTCGAACCCGATTCGTCATGCCTAGGGGGGGTGTACGATGTAGTACTCGCTTCTCGCTTCCGTTGGCGGCAGCTGTTATTACTATGTAAAACCAAAGACTACCAGCCTCACGAAGCGGAATGAAACCATCGTCAAACTTTTCCATTGCCTACGATACCCGCTAGAAGCCGGTGCATTGTGAAGGATGTTTATTTATTAGTAAAAGAATCCACAGAGATGCCAAGAAGATCTAGCATTGCAACCCGTTCCTGCATGTGAGTCCCGTTTTAACATGCGCGCAAACGGTTCTGGGCCTTGAGATTTTCATGTTGTTTTATCAGATCATTCCACGTGGTTATACGAACATCCGAAAGATGGAAAGATGACAGTGTGTTTCATTAACGTGGATATGCCCGAGGCGAAGGAATAACATCCGCATGACATTTATGATCAACCCACCTATATACCGATGCATAATGGATTTCGTAATATGTGTATAGAAGATTGACAGGCTAGGAGACTAGATTCCCCTATTACGAAGGGAGAAGAAAAAAATCCACATCACCATTATCTAAGTGATATCCACGTTTGCGTATCTTCTTGGATGGTTGGCTAATTATTTTGTTGGTGGGTTAGCTTTGACTTCAAACCGGGGGTCCTTACAGGGCTGATCTGCTGGTTTATGGCGGAGGGCCGAACTCGGAGAAGACATTTACATAAGGAGTGTTTTATTTTTATGTACATTCAAAGGTAAAACAGACATGGCATTCCTAAGGCTAATATAATACCTAACCTATAATACCTACGGAGGTAAGTAATGTCTTATGACTCCTCGGCCAGTATACTTAACCACTTATACGGAAGTTCCCACAACCACAAAATATTCCTTGGCCCTTTTTAGGCCTTGGCGGTTAGGCAATTATGGATTCTTGCTACTTTAATAATACTTGCCCAACGAACCCTACAAACAACGATACGGTACTTGAATCACGCCTTTAGTTACTAAGAACAACATCATCTATGCAAATATCGCATCATATATTTCATTCATACTATCGTCCAGGGAGAAGCGATCCATCGGGTCACAAGACTATGAAGAGGTACAATTACAAAATAATAATGCGCCCTTCATTTTAAACGCAACATCGTGAAACATACGCACAACTACTGTGTAGGTAGTTATAATCATCGATGACTCTCCGATCGAGATAAGTGGATAGGGATAGCTTTTCCCGATCAAGTAATTAACATGTCCCAAGACTGGATGCGATAGGTCAAGGAGTTTTTTCTTTCTTTTTTAGCGAGCTATGTACAGCATGTCAGATTTCTAAGCTTTCGAAGGGCGCAAGCACATAATAATACGTCTAACCTAAGTGGGCATAGTATCATATCTAGGTCTCAGCCCTCCGAAGCTGAAGCGGTCAAAATTCATGGAGCAGTCGTCAAGATCCAAGGGGCTAGGAGCTAGGAGCTAGAGATCCTGACTAACGGACGTCGTTCCGGGGGAGCGTCAACGACTATGACTTCTCCGCGCAAGTGTCGTTGTTAATTCCCGGGTGTCATCAAGACGCAAAAGCCGAGAGCGGTGTTTCTACGAGCCGCATGACACCAAAGGCGGTAGACCATTGATTAGTAGGCCACTCATAGGTATGGGTCACTCGTAAGCCACTTTATATGACAAGCTGCTGTGCTCATGCGCATTATTAGAATATGATAGCGTGCTCGAAGGGCGCATCCTAAACGCAAGCTTCTTGAAGACTCGAGACTCAAACGCCATCTTCCTTGCTCCACCCCAGCTGATAATTATAACTTCTTACGTACGATTATTGAATACGTCTTCCTTTGGAGGTAAGGTCTCGAAGTGGTCACCTTTAGAGGTCAAGCGTAGGTCAAGCATACGACCAAGAGAATTTTTAGAAGAATGAACACACCCAATACCATCCCGACCCCCTTCGAACCCCCCCCCCCTCAGTCTCTCCCCTCAGACCCCAGACCCCAAATTAAATATGTAAAAGAATGCAAGCCAAGTTGACAAGTTGATTATGCTTCTTCAATGGCGCGATAACCCCTGCCTTGGGCAGATCCGCTCCCATGTCAGGCCACCAAGATCTCCATCCAGCCAGCGGAAGACATGAAGGGCGGAACGATCTAATACCCTTTACGTCAGAACGGAGGAGCTTTACGACAACCATCTTTTATCACTAACACATACAAGTGTCTACCTACATAAAATTTCTATCATTCTTCAATCTTAAGATGACTCAAGTACTACCGTCGAGCTTAAAGCTAGACAAGCCCGGGTATTTTTTGTTTCCTTGATATACAACTATATAAGCCATTTGGTTCCCATCATAGCCTCTACAGCTTGGGGGTCTTATCGATATTAATATCACAACGTCGTACCGTCATCAGCAATACTACCTAACCTACATATGACCTTTCTCATCCTGCAGTTGACGGCAAGGACTCATATACAATCTTATTATTGTCACTTTGCTGCCTAGTATAGCGCTACAGTTACACAGGACAACACTCAAACTATATCTATGCTCTCTTTAGCTTGATTATCGCAAGCATTAGTTAGATCTAGGGTCAACACATCTTATACTACGGAAATCCAGAATATATACCTGAAGCTCTAAGCCGTTTAAGAACGAGAACCAACTTTCAAAATGTCGTCCACTTCGTCTTCGGAGCACAGCAGGGTTCTAGGCGGCTACGCTCGCAAACTGTCTATCACCCCTAAATCTAGCATCAACATTCATATCAACAACCATTATCACTCTCGAGTCTACACCACCGGATCGGAAGTATCAGGACATGTTACCATTACACCCCAAACCGATACGCGATTCGACACGCTCCAGGTTGTGTTACTCGGAACTAGCAAAACCCGGGTAGACGCCGTAAATATTCCCCAGACGACCTCTCACACTTTCTTGAAGCTCATAATGCCTATCCCGGAATCATCCTATCCAATCCCGCGCGTGTTCGAGGCAGGTCTGACTTATACGGTACCATTCACCTTCGTCATTCCGAGCACCCTCACTCTTAATGCGTGCAGTCATCAGGTCGCCAACAATTCTGTTCAGGACCACCACATGCGATTGCCTCCTACTCTTGGTTCTTGGGAAAAGGATGACTTTGCGCCGCACATGAGCCGCGTTCAGTACGTGATCAAGGCACGAGTGTACAAGGATGAGCCGGCTGATGAACTGACTATAAAAGTTATGGAAGCCGGGCAAGAGATTAAGGTCTTACCCGCGATGCCGGAAGATGCCCCATTGAGTATTACCAAGCACGACGATTTGTACGTTATGTCGAAGAGTAAGTCGCTACGGAAGACTATCATATCGCCCAAGACAGGAAAGGTGACTATCACGGCTGCGCAACCCAGCGCAGCTATGCTAAGTCCCGACGGGCAAACGATCGCCTCGACTACAGTACCACTCTACCTCGAATTCGAACCAGCTTCTATCGACGCACACCCACCGAAAATAACAGGAATATCATCCAAGGTTACGGCGGTCACGTATTTCAGCGCCGGCGGCGTCAGCCAGTACCCTAACCTGAAGGATTGGCACAGCGCATTCGGCTCCGAAGGCCGCGGCTCGTACTCTGGCACGACATCCGTTACCACAGGGCCTTTAGAGGAGGTCAAATGGAGCGGACACCTAACGGCACAGGCTCGACGGGACTCCGGATACGGCAGCGACAGCCTCTCATCTGACACAGACCTACCCCCTAGGCCCGCCCCCAAAAAGACCAAGGGCAGTCTCCCATCCCCGATATTCCACGCGGCGCAACTACAAGTGCCGATTCAACTACCAGTACAGAAGAAAACATTCGTGCCAACTTTCCACTCGTGCATCACGTCGCGCGTCTACGTCCTGTGGTTAACAGTTACCGTCGTTTCCGGCGGGTACAGCGCACACCTAACCCTAGGCGTGCCTTTACAAGTCGGTGTCCGCGGCGCGGTCTCGCACCTAGATAATACCGCGCTGCCGCCTAGCTTCGAGGAGGTAGAGGAGGCGGATGCGGACGAGTATCTGCGCCCGCGCGTCATGAGCCTTCCTACGATTAATTTCGACCAGAACGGGGCGCTGCCAGGCTACGCGGACTTGGATCACCATAGACGGAGGACGGTGGTCGCGCACTGAGGTATGATTCGATGACATCTATACGCTTTTTTGGTTATTCTTCTTTTACATCTACATTCCTCTTGCCTCGAAAGGCATTATGCGGGACTTGATACCACCTTCGTTTGGGAGCGATTTGTCTAGGGCGGGGATTTGGAAAGCGTGGCGTTTGGCTGTTGGTAAAAGGACTTATGAGATTGGTATTTGATTGTATAGAAAAAGAACTAGGGTGCGGCAATCGTTGAAACGATAGGATAAACTATAATTTGGCAAGGAGGGTTAGCATTCAACATCCCTTTATTTTTCAACCACGTATTAAGTAATGATGGTTATCACATTTTGTTTAACTACGCATATTAGATCATCTACTCTCTCGTGACGAAGAACTTGAAAGTTATAGCTCTTATTTTAATTGTATACCTAACTAACATCAAGTGTATAACCTTTTCTTATGTGTATTGCTTATAGAGCGAAGACTCTGGACTACCTACCTAGATTCCAGCCAGCCGAGTTAGTAGGACCATATCCCCTATCCGCTACCAGACTGGAATATTAGTCTAGACCCGGTGTAAAGGTCTCCCGAGTAGCGCTAAGTATCTATCTCCACCATGGCCCCTCTATGAGCCCTACATCGTCAAGTAACTCACATATGAATATATGACGACCGAAGTCGGTAGACTTTCGACTATAAGTTAAATTTAGAGAGCTGACCTCTGTCTTCCCCGGAACTAATGACTCTTGTCTATGCCCACTTACACTAGGCAGATAGACACGGTAGGTTTGTTTTGCGGTCCTACTTAGTAATTACTATAAGTAATATACCTAGTACTAAGCGCTTCTTAGAGGTAGTGGGCGGGAAACCACCGCGTGCTACTTAGATCAAACCTATAGTCTCTGTTGGCAACTCGGTTAGCTACCTTCCCTAGGAGGGCTATAGATGCGGTAGGCATAATGGAATTACCCACAGCCAAGCTTCTGCGCTTATATATGCCGTAGAGAGTTAGGAAGTCTTAGCAGGTAGTCGCCGCCTGATCGCTAACTTGCCTTGCACATTACTCCAGAGAGAAAACAGTGACAGGCTAATAATTACGCGAAAGGGATATATGGCTGGAAACTAGAGAAGCACCCACGAAACTCCAAGCAGGCTTGCCTAGTATTATTTATACTTCGTATTAAATATGTAGCCTAACAATTAATTGTTAGCTAGCATAGCTGAATAGCTGTAGTTGAGACCAAGTATAATCTAAGAAATCGAGAAGTATCACCTTTACCATCGTATTAGAATAGCTTCTTAAATAGTAGTTAACTATCGCTTTCAGTAAGTACTTTAAAGACCACGATGCTCTCAACCGTGAAAAGAGAATACCAAGGTAACATTGCTTTCCCATAGACTAGCGAATACCAACTTGGTCAAATTAAAGGGGCAAGTGAGTGACATGATGCAGATTCCCGGAAGCTGGGTATGTTTTCGTCGTACGAAGTAGCCACTATGTAACAAGATCTGAGAACAACATACGCTGTCACACGTCTAATAGATAAATGACTTCCTGAACCGGTCCTTCTGGTTGAGATTTGGCCAATGAATGGCGTATTCCCTGGTGCTATGGTGCTACCCTCTGGGTCACTAGAAATATACCGCAGGCGAGACGAACAACCGTGCTTTAAATTTCGCCGTAGTCTTTCGAACTTTTCTATCATTGGTCTCATCCTAGTTCCCTCAACTTCCCCTGAAGTATCAAATGGGGCCACAACGCCACTCTCCAACAATTTGACTAATTTCAATACATAGGACAAGTACATCATGCAATATATCCCTTGTATAAATATTTGATCCGTGGTAGATCAGTACACTACTATATACTCGTGGCTTAGAGGATATGTCTAACCTCAGCCTTACAATGCTATCATCGAACTCAACACTAAGGACACACCCCGGACACGCGAGGGTATAAGCAACGCCCAGTCCTTAAACACCTCTGAGAATGCACATTCTAATTTTCGACACAAGGCTAAGGGCACGGTATATCGTCCGTCGTATCTTCTCGATTTACCTGGTATATTCCTTCTGGAGTAGCTTGGCGATTGTGTTGAGTCTAATATCGAAGATTAGCATTGCTCCCCCCTTAATCATACGACGTAGAGCGAAGAAATAAGTCAACTTACTGAATATTACTGGTTCCCTCGTATATAGCGCCAATCTTGCTATCCCTCCAGTATTTCTCTGCAAGACCCTCCCGGACGAAGCCCATGCCACCCATCCATTCAATGGCTAGGCCGCTAACACGTCCCGCGACTTGCGAGGCGTACAATTTCGCCATGGCCGCATCGCGCACGAAGTCCTCGCCAGCTTCCTTCTTCCGGGCAGCATTGTATACGAGAGCGCGCGCGGCCGCGATCTCGGTGTACGACTGGGCGATTTGGTGCTGCATGCCCTGGAACTCGCCGACTAGTTTGCCAAACTGCTTGCGGTCATTCCATACGTACTTGACTGCGTTCTCCCATGCACCCAGCGCTAGTCCGGTCATCTGCGCCGCGATACCGATGCGCCCCTCGTTCAACAGCCCGATAGCGTACTTGTAGCCCTCACCCTTTTCGCCCAGCAAATTTTCCTTAGGGATCTCAACGTCGTCGAAGCTGATGGCACATGTACTGCTCGCTTTGATGCCCAGCTTCTTCTCCTTCTTGGCAATCGAGAAGCCCTTGGTGTCTTTCTCAACAATAAAAGCTGTGATACCCCGGTGCCCCTTGCTAGGATCCAAGTTTGCGAATACGATGAAGAAATTAGCCTCCATAGAATTCGTGATCCACATTTTGCTACCGGAGATCCGGTATCCATCAGCGGTTTCCGTCGCCCTAGTAGCGAGCGCGAAGGCGTCAGATCCCGAGACGGGCTCGCTCAGACAGAAGCTACCAACGGTGTTGGTGGCCAGCGCCGGGAGGAAGCGCTTCTTAATATCGTTACTACCCCACTTCAGGACGGCCGTGTTGACCAGCGTATTGTGGACGTCGACCAGAACGCTGACGCTCGGGTCGACACGTGCTAACTCCTCGATACCTACGATGGCGGCAGTGAAGTTCATACCGGCACCTCCAAACTCCTCGGGGATCTCAATCCCCATCAGCCCTTGCTCGAAAAGTTGCTCAACCAATTCTGGATCCATGTTCTCGGCCTCGTCCATATCGCGGACTTTCGGTAAGATTACCTCGTTAGCGAACTTGGAAACTGTCTCTTGCATGGCTGCCTCGGTCTCGGACAGGTGCGTTATGGGGGTAGGGGGGATATCAGTAATGTCTGTCATCCGGCTGGCTGTGGCAGATAAGGGTCTTATTGTTCTATAGGCCCAAAATATTAATATGAGCCATTGCGACGAGAAACTTGACTGAAAAGACTTACTGTCGCGTATTGAACTTCTGCACCGACCTGCTACAACATCGTGGCGACAACGAGGCCCTAGGAACTACACCAGGACCCCGCCGTAAGGCCGGCCGAAGTAATCTTGCGATCGACGACATGGTGTGAAGTAGCAACTTATAACTTGTACCACAACAAGCAGGTGTGTAACAGCTCACGAGAACAAATTACCGAGGAAGTTTGAAGGGGTTTGGATTATTGTATGTAAATTAGGTAGGTAAAGTACTCGTACACGATTAAGAAAATAGATAATAAAAAAAGATCAAGATTATGAAGAGTCCCGCCTTCTGCTCACATTTCCACCTTCCCCGGATTCGACTTACTCTGCCGAGGATAGCCATGGCTCACGAGCCATGAGCCGTGGCTGGAAAAGTAAGTTGGGAAAGCGGCGCTGACGTCGATTGTGTACCAATGTATAGAGGGAAGCGAATTAGCGAATCAGACATGAGCAATGCCGCCGACCGGCTGGGTGTTACCGTCCGCGGTTCCATAGTGGCATAGCCGTTAGACATGTGAATCCAGAGCTAGTAGGTACCTATGTACGTACCTTATAAAAGTTATCTAAGTTAGAGCCACACCCATACCGGAGGCCGGAACTCAGAACTTGCCAGACCGATGTCACCTGACATCGAATTTTCCACCGTTCGTCAATTGAGCTTCTCTTGGCGGCAGCGTATTGTGTGAAGTTTCATACCCGATCGACCTGTTGGAGTCAGACACGGCGGCCGACTGACTACCTAAATTCCATCATGGCCGCGCCGATATTAAGATGCCTCTGGCCATCCCTGGCAAGGCGGCCGGCCGCAATACCGATATCCCTTCCTAAAATACCCATGCGATCATTCTCTTCGACGCCGTCCCCAAATGCGACCTTAAACCAAGTCCTACGAGTGCGTCTTCCTCGATCCTGTCTCTTTTTAGAACAAGGAGAACACTGTCGTTATCTATCTGTCTATACGGCTGGCCCTTTGTAATGGCGACTAACTCGCAATATCAAATAGGGATGTCGTAAGCCCCAACGCGCGCGCCACGCCGTTTCTCCAGCTCTGTCCGATACGGAATGTCCGCAGCAGAAAGGCGTGTGTCTCAAGGTCGGCATTACGCGGCCCAAGAAGCCCAATTCAGGCGAGCGAAAAACGGCTCGTGTGCGCCTGTCCAGCGGCCGTATGATCACGGCCTATATCCCCGGCGAGGGCCATAACATCCAACAGCACTCTGTCGTTCTTGTCCGAGGTGGCCGAAGTCAAGATTGTCCTGGTGTGCGGTATCACTTGGTCCGGGGAGCTTTAGATTTGGTAAGCTAGCAAATGGGGTTGACAGTCGGATTTGAAGGGGAGTTGTTAGTTTGGGACTACTTTTACTAACGCATATTTTTTTCAACAGGCCGGTGTCTCTAATCGCAAGTCGAGCCGAAGTAAATATGGAACGAAGAAGCCGAAGAAGGCTTCTGTTGGCTCATAGAGAAACATAGAAGCATTTTGTATGTCTCATTCACACTATTAGGGTTATAAAGATCCTTCCTTAATAGAACTTGGGATAGATGTGCTCGGACGTGGACTGTACTTTTACTACACGATGCGACGTAAAATAACTGCAACATTTCCATTTCATATGGCAAACCCATAAACATGTATCTACAATGAAGAAACCGATATATATCGGTACGTTAACGAATCCGTGGACGCCACCCTGTTGCCCCGGTCAATACCCCCATTGAACCGCACTGGCGATGTTGCAATAGACCGTCATTAAAGATGGATAATATCTATTTACAATCATCTGTGAAATTTTTTGTCATCCTGGTTTCCTTTTCTCTATCCCTGTTGCTCCTCATAACCCTGCGGCTTATCAAGCCCGTTGATATCGAAGTATCTTGCTGTGCCTGCGGATGTATTAGTGAGATGTGATATCACGAATAAGTGGAATCGGGGAATACGTACAAGAGTACCCTTTCCAGTCAAAGTTTTCCTTCGGATTGCAGTGACAGCGGAGATCTAACCGCGTTTTCTCACCGGTTGGACAGTGAGTAAAGGGGACGTGATAATAGGCAATATCATTGAAGAAGTGAATTTCTTCCTTCTTCAATAACAGGCCGGCGGCAATGGAATGTACCGGTGCATCACCCCATCGCTCGTAAAAGAACCCACCATCCTGGTCAAGCGACTCGAAGAAGTCGGTATAGGCCTTGGATCGCAGCCATTCTAAGTTGCCAACTTCAAAATTAGACCACTGTATGTAGGTTAGTAGCTATTAATGCATAATTCGACGTACTACTTACGAAGTGGCATTTGTTGTATTTCTCACCACCATCGTCACTGAGGAAAGCCATAGAGTTACCCTCGGCGATATGTTCGGGGTAATTCTTCATGAACTTCTTTACACTGTCCCAGAGAGTAGGGATAGTCTCCTCGTATTCGTACAGACTAAGCACGAAGCTATACTTCTTCTTGTTCTCGGCCATGAAACGGAAAGGATCGTAATGAACGTCGCAGAAAAGTTCGACGCTGGGCTCGACTCGCCAGTACCATTCGTAGTTCAACATGAGTGGTTGACGGAAGAAGAAACCAGATTCGAAGCGACACATGTGTCGGTAACTAACGGAATCGCCATAGATAATCTTGCGCTGCGCCATATCTTCACGAACCTTCCGCGCCTTATCCTGGTCGATGTGATCGGGGAAAGACCAATGCTCATGAGGAATCTCGCCATAGTAAGTCTTGCCAGACACGAGGGAGCTCGTAACTTTCTTGAAAGTCGCATCGAATGGCTTGTCATTGAGGAAAACCCAATCGTAATTGTAGCGGCGGTTGAAGCGATCTTCGACTTGACGGATAGAACGAGCAATGTCCCACACATCGCTGTTGCGGGCAAGAGAGACGAAGGTGGCGTTCATACGAGGGCCAGGGGCAGTTCCTAGAAGATCATTCCACCCTTGATCCGACGGTGTTAATGCCATTGGAGCTTCGGCAAGGTCTTCATATTGCTTCGGGGATCCTGCGCCGGGCTTCGATGGTGAACTCTTTGTAGACCCTGGCGCGTTGTTGATCGAACCATCCTGCTTGTTTCCCCAACTAGACGACGCTCCGCCAGCATCGTCGAGCGACTTATCTGGCCTCGTCGATGAGGAACCTGGGCTAGCTCCGAATGAAGAGGGTTTCAGTTGTACCCCTTCGTATGTGGAATGGGATACGAAGTAAAGGACAGCGAGAAACTGTGTAGCGAGTTGCTATTAGCCACCTGGATTCGACCTACTCAAGCTCGATTCACGAAAAGTCTGGGTATAGCTTACGAAGAAGGCGAAGAGAATGTATCTCACGATGCGCGCACTGCCGGCAGCCATGATGCGAGATGTAGGGCTGACGGATTGCTCACCGTCAAAATGAGCTGGTAGAGGAAGACACTGGATATTCTCGAGGGCTGGAATGTTTCGCCGGCCGGAATGGGGGCGGGGATTTCCAAAGGGGAAAACTCTCCTCGCCTATGTAGGTTAGGTATTGTCACAAGAAACAAAGGAAGGACTATTAAGTCATCACCGGAAGCTCAAATGCGACTGGACTAGATTCGCATACTTGAGCCACGATTTTTCAACAGGAATACGTAGGGAAACGGAAACGAAAAAGGTGAAGGGAAAAAAATGAAATAAAATAAAAATGAACAAGTGAGATAGATTGTAATAGGTAAAAGCTGGATGTGAATACGAAGTTGTTACACCATGTACGTAGAAGTGGGATAGGGGTAGGTACAGTAAGGTACAAATTGTACATACAACAAAACGTGTACGAGGAAGTACTTGCAGGGTGTAGGTGATTTGATTCGAGATAGAAAGAAAAAACGGAGGCGATGGATTAGAATTTCACTGATAAATGGATCGACGCGTCAGTTGTGAATGGAAGGTCTAGTCCCCTAGCAGTGTAACTGTGGCCCCCCCGTACGCCTAAACATATGTGACTTCCAATTGAATCAGGATCCCCATTTTTTACGGGTAGGTACCAGGTTTATCACTAGGCTGGGCGAGCCCCTCTTCGTTATCAGAGAGCCTTAAGGTCTTGGCGTTGCCGTATATTCCGCCCCGAGTCCCGTTATTGATATCCCCAACCCTAGAAATATTTGACAGCGAAGTACCATGAAAAGCTAAACTACATAATATAAAAATCGTTTAGTCATTCCTATCAGCTCACATCTTGTGCTTTGTCAGGTTCTTTGGAGCATAACTGGTGAGACGTGTATTTCTATATGCATATGCTTTCGAGGAGAATGTCTCAATAACTTGGGTAACCTTTTTGAGTTTGCTGAAAACATATGTTTTGGTGCGGTTTTCCGAAGTCATATCGCTTGGCTGCCTCTTTGTCTAGGCTTGTATACATACCTAGGTAGACTTGTACATGGGAATATCTCCTACGTGCACATTCGATGTGCGGATTGCATTGCTAGTTCTACGGCTCAAATAGCCTACCTCGATACCCCATATCTAAATTCCTCTTAGCCTACCATTTGTCCGGCAGACAATCCAGAGGCTAACGCTGACGTACCTCACCACGTAACGCAGTAAATACATACGCATTAATAAACTCGATGAGGATCCTCTAAGAATACCAATTATAAACAAGTGGCTCCTCCTTACATGAGATGCAAAAGGTCGATTTATATGCCTGAGTTGGTCAAGTTAGAAGGAAGTAATTTATTTGTAAGTTGCAAATTCTAAGTTGGATTTACCCATCCCAGGTCAGGCACGTGACCATAGTACGCATGGCCTAAAACCTAGGTAGGTAGTAATAGCTTGATATAAATATATCTAATGAAACAATATGGAGCATCTAATTCAATACTATTACATGTCTAGACTTGAACGACTAAAAGGATACATTAAAAGATACATGAAGCATTTTAGTGTGCAGGTGGCCTCCAAAGGGTAAGTACGAAGTACATGTTGACATGTCCAATAGGTATACCTAGGTACTTGGCGGCATCACGTGGTTCGGAGCGCATTAACTTGTAACCTCTTCCCCACCTAGGCAACATGATTGGCCTAGCCGATGCTGTAGGGTCTTTGGTGGGAAGCTGGTAGGTTCTTCAATTCCACCAAATTGCTTTGCGAAATGTTGCCGTATGGCACGTAGATACGTCAATCATCTCGAGAGAAGTTGACGGCGCTCTCTTCGAACAGCCTTACCTACCTACTTTACGTCTTTCTCTAGCCGTGAATATTTTATACGTACTGAGAGCTTCCTTGTGCAGCTACTACTTTTCTTATTGAACTGTTTTCTAAATATTTTTGTATCCCATTTTATCAGCTTTTACCTCTTTCGCCCCTCACAACCCAAGCTGTTTTCACACCCACATCATGATCCAGCAAGACTATTCGCTCCTCGTCTACCAAGTATTCCAGCTCTTTTAGTTGTAAGTCTTTCTACTAGCCTGTATTAACCTGTATGATCTATCCCAATATTCTTCCATCTTTTCGAGCACCATACAGTCATACAGTCATACAGTCATACAGTTTTACGCATCACAGAGGGAATGTACCCTTCTATTCTATGCCCAACATCCCAACCCTTCTGCCCATCCTATGCTGCCTTCCCTATTGTTAATTTCGAATAAAATATTTCGGGGTTAGCAAACAAAGCACTTTTTTGCAACCTCCTCTAAATTCGTCACCCCTCCACAGCTTTGACCATCCCACTTTAGCAACCTTAGGAGGTACCTTACTTACCCACCTTCTATAGTTTGACACTAAACTTTCGCAAGCATTGCGAAGCTTGCAACCGCCGCCATGTCATTCCATGCGAATTCCTCGCGCCACGATATGGCAGCTCCCGGTTTTGGCCAATCTTACGATCCCTTCGCCGATCTTTCGCGAAGTGCGGATGACATTGATGAAGCTTTAGATTTTGAGGATACATATGATGGATTAGGTGATGGGTTGGATGAGACGGACGACGCTTTTAACGATGACACGTTTGGTGGTGCTGGCGGTGGTGACTCTGGTGTAGTGTCGCATGCGCCAGTTGGTAAGGATTTCGACTTCTTTGGACAGACTGCTAAAGTCGCGAACGCTATCGAGGAAGAACACCAACGCTTCAGCCGTCAACAGCCAGTTCCGAAGTCGATCCCACCTTCTTCAGCACAAGCATACAACTCAGGATATGCCTATCAGCCAGCGCCTAAACCTGCTAGAAGTGGTTACGAGAAGTACAAGTCCTCTGAACCGGTATCCGACCTTCAAGTTGACGCTTCAATATGGGGAGTCCAGCCAAAGAAAGCAACTCCAGTAGCACCAGCTCAACCCCAGCCAGCCGCGCCACCGGCGGGTCGTAAAATGATGAGTCTGGAAGAGGTCGAGGCAGCGATGCGAGCCCAGGCAAAGGCTCCTGCTCAACCCCAACAGCCTCAAGCCCAGCCTCAGGCTCCGTCCCTGGCTGGCCCTGAGCTTCAAGCAACATTTCCCCACGCCCATTACGCCCAACAGGAGCCGATCGACTACCTGCAACAACAACAATTTGACAACCGTCAACCCCAGGGATTCTATGCTCCCGACAGCCAGCAGCTTCCGCAAGGGGCCGCTCATGGACACCCTATAGCAATCTTGCAGCGACCATCTTCAAAAAGCATCCCATCTAGCGGTCCCAGCGTGTCAAGCTCCTTACCTCAGCAGCATCAGCCTACTTCTACGGGATTCCCGACGCAGATACTACAGAACCCTAACCGTACTCCTGGAGAGCCCGCTAGAATTAACTTGCCAACTCATCCAACTCATCGATCCCAGAACTCATTCACCCGCCAGCCTCAGCCTAGCGCAAGTCAAGCTCACCTGTCAAATTTATCCGAGCAGGAGAAAGCATCCTTCCTCGAAGCTGAGGCGAGACGAGCCAAGCGTAATCACAAGATCCATGTCTTATCGAAGGATAACGGTTTGATGACACCACAGGATAAGAGTTTCATTACCAGAATCCAACTGCAACAACTTGTCTCGGCCACTGGTGACCCTAACGAACACGGAACCGACGCTGCTCTTGCGGAGGATTTCTACTACCAGGTTCTCAGCTCGTTACGAGCAGGACAGCGACCTAATCCGAATCAACCTCTGAACAATTTTGCCCAGACGTACCTTTTCCAGACTGGTACTCGCCATGGGGGTATGAGACGTCAAGGACGAGGCCCGGAGAACCACATGCAGCGAATGGAACAACAGGTCCAGCGTGCTGTTGAGGCGGCCAAGAATAAGCCCAAGAACAAACAACTGGTCATCGAAGGCAGCTTAGGAAAGATCTCGTTCAGCAACGCGAAGACACCAAAGCCTCTATTGAACATTAAGCGGACCGAGAGCAGTACCGAGACTAATCGACCTGGTAGCGGACATCGCTCCCATCCCACTACAGGTACCGACAAGAAGGAGACACTGCAGAATATCGAGAAAGTCTACTTGACTCTGATGAAAATGGAGGATCTAGACCGCAATATGCCCCCCCCTCCGTCGAATGGCAATCCGGATCCAGACTTTGAGCGACGTGCTGAGATACAGGTACAGTTGCAGCAACTAAATGAGCAGCTATGGACCGAGCTCAAAGTCCATGAGCCTATAGGCGCGACTTCTGTGCACCCTTTCATCGCCTTTTTGTCCTATCCTAAAGGCAAGAAAGCAATCGGTCGTGTGTTCAACCATATTACTCTCGAGCAGCAAACAACCATCCTGACCATTATCGTCATCCATCTCGATCAACTCGATGTAGTCCGTGGTGCACAGGTACAAACTGGAGAACCCATCAATTTGAACGCCGCTACTCGCGAGAGCATTGAGCTGTTCATTGTGGCAGTCATGCCAAGTCTTCTCCACCTGTTAGGCAAATCGGAGTTGCATATTGTCACCGGCGTACTCGGATTGATAACCCAGAATCTCAACGTAGATCTTGTTGCTCGAACTCGGATTGGTGTCTCGATGTTAACTATGATCCTTAGCCGAGCTGAACTCACCAAGCAAGCTGGACAAGCAACTGAACAGTCTTGGCAACAATGGTAAGGATAAAGATGATCTTTCATATCGTAGTAACTAGCTAATTTCTTGTTAGGGTTGCAACTTTCAACCAGTTCTTCAACGCCTTAGAACCAACTCTTCCCAACATCTTCCCAGGCACCGTGGCATCTGGAGAAGATATTTATGTGTGGCAATTCCTTGCCGCCATTGGCATAGGAGCCAGCCCAGAGGAACAGCAACGCCTCGTCCTTGCCGTCAAAGACCGTGTCATGGATACTGTCAATCTATCTAAGACTCTTCCCGCTGACATGGCAAAGACTCGCTTGGACAATGTCAACCTGTTTATGCGATCTATCGGTCTTGACGTGGAATTGTTGAACAACTAGACTGAGCATTAGGATGACCATCTCGACTTACTGTATAGTCTCATCCAGATATATCGTCGGGTTGTTTGGCCGAAGAAGACTTGGAAGGTGGGCACTGGATGTGATGATTCAACGCCGCTGCTTTATGCGGCTTAATGAGGCGCGAAGAGGTCCTTGTGAAGGGCCTCTGATAGACGGGTGAGCGCTTGGCGCTCGGTATATGGGTAACGAACGGTGGAATCTATCCGAGTTCTCACGAGTTCATGATACCCGAATTGGCTTAGCGATGAGGTCTGGAGATGATGCGGGCCAACTTTGTGGACGATGGTTCTAGACTCCTACGGGGAGCGTGTGCATAGATAGTTACATCGTGAGGACGAGGCATCTAATGCCTATATTTTGTGCCATAGCTACAGTCAAGTTCCGAGTCCTATTTAGGCCTTCGTGATACTGTTATACGTTGGCGCTAGTCCTACAGATGTGCATAGGTAGTTGAGTCGTTTGTATTGCGTGCAATAATTTTGAGCTATTGTTAAAGCCATACGAATACCAAGTGTGCCAGAAAATCAGTCGTTGACGCCGAGCAATGCAATATAACCTAACCTACGGGTTTGCCCCTTACACCTCTCCTGGGTTGCAGACGTATTAGCCGGCTTGATAGTCGTGACCTCCCAACTTCCGTGCGTGCCCGATTAACCAATCGCCTTAACCTTAGTTAGGCTCTTGAATTCCGACGTCCACATTATCTTCGGGTTTCGCATCTTTCTCTCCCTATCAGCCATTCTTCAAGCTACTGCTAGCCATAATACAACACGTAACTGGAAACGCTTTTGCATCCCTCTTGTATTATCAAGGGCCTCGAATATGGGAAAGGAATTCTTCCTCGCTCCACTGCGCTTTGAACTTGTCCTTCGACGCGTCGTCTTCCATCGCACTCGGCTTCGCCGTCTCTTTTTCTTTCCCCTTGCCCTTCGCGTCCACCAGGGATTTGGGATTAGCCGCTCCCGGGTATACGAGATAGTTGGTGAACATGTGCCAAGCTTTGTCGCTGTCTTCATCTTCGTATTTGAGCTTGGACCATGGCTCGGTCTGTACCTTACGCAGACGTTCGATCATTGTGTCCACTACCAGCTCCCCGTTTTCAGTGCCCCCCGCACTCTTAATCGACATGTGGATCGCCTTGGCCGCACCGGCACCTCCTTGTGTTCCACTGGCAGTCGCGCCACTTTCTTTGCCTGTCCCCGCGGCCGGGCCTGGTGCCGCCATGCCCTCGCGCGGACGGCTTAGGCGTTCCTGTTCGGTGTAGGCATCGAGGTGGTGTAATTGCGGGCGCAGGTGGATTAGGGACGAGACGGGGGTCAGATGTAATTGATCTGATATTCAAACTCCTGTTAGCCGCAAGTGCGCAGTGCATCCGGTAGACAGACAATTGACAGACCTCCTTTGAAAACGCCAACCATCCATCTGCAATTCGTCTCCTTCTCGATCGCGAACTGGCCGCCCAGGGTCTGCGTCCTAAGAACCTTGTCCTGGCGCACAGCCTCGCTCCAATCGAGCATGCTGAGCTCCCGCTCCAAATCATCCGGGCGCTTTCCCGCTGCGCCGCGACCCCCTCCAGCCGCCGCGCCTCTAGCAGGGACGCCGACGCCGAAGCCGCCGGCGAGACCGTGGGACCCGCCGTTCTTGGCCGCGGTGCTGCGCGCCAGGGCACTACCCCAGCGCAGCCCCTTGTCGCGGTCGTAGTCGGCGTGGCCGTGACTCATGGGCACGTCGACCTCGATGAAGCCGGCTTTGTTCTTGACGCGCACCTCGCTGATCTGCTTGTACGGCGCGCGCACGGGGCCTTGTCTGTTCGGGTGCTGCAGGACGAGCAGCTTGCGGTTCTCGGGGAGAGGGGGGTTCGCGTAGATGTCGTAGCTGGCGATTATGGGGTCGGCGTCGTTGTCGTTCTCGCTGTCGACTTCGATCGCTTTCGGCTTCGAGGCCGCCTCGGTGTCAATTTCCATTTCTGCCATTGTAGCTCGGTTCTTTGATACAGATGGAATTAAGGGTATATATGAGTCAGCTCATTTTACGAAGGTATTGTTGAATACCTAGCTACCTCTATGAAAATGATTGGTTAGGTAAGTTGTAGATATTCGCCCGCATTATGAAGTCGACAAGCTTAATGCTAAATGACTTTTTTGGCGGGGCATATGCTTATCGGTGAGTGTGGGGCTTATCTAGATCCTAGCTCTCTTCTACACTAATATAGGTACCTAGGTACCTAAGGTTAGGGGTCTATGTTATCTCTATTATTCCGTATACCTTGGGGTGATTCAATATGTATCACTTGTAAATATACTATGTATTGCTCAACTCGATGTTTTTAAGTGCCTAAATAAACACCAGGTCCTGAATTGACTGTTAAAATAACTCGTAGAGCGTCAATGATATTTCACAAAATTTTCATAAAGTTGTTTACTTCCAACATTAGTGCAACATAATACAGAACTTCCATTCTTGGGAGATTAAATACAATATCAAGTTTAAACAAGTCATTGTAGTTACTAAGGTAGTCGAAAGAGTTAAATATAGTTATCGTTTCCTAATTAATATGAGAAACCCCCGAGGATATGACAAACGGAGAGCAAAGCAAGAATACATCATATAACTACTTGGAATAATAACAACTAGTCATAAATATTTAATCTAGCCTATCTCCTTGAATGTTGTTTATTCACGGCTTGCCCCGGGATCACCATAAGTCATTAAAAACTGAAACGGTTTACATGTATGTGTACTTATAACCCAAGATGGTGGAGTTGATAATTCATAAAGCAAATTGTAGCTACGACTATAACCAAGGGAACAATAAACCACAAAAGGATCGTCAACGCAACATAGGAAGTTATACATTAAAGTTATATCCATCCAAGTGTTCCTCATGTCTATATCCCCATGACGTGTTGATAAGCCCTGGACTTGGATGTAAATGGTTTGTACTATAGTTTCTCTAATCTTTATTTTATAGCCCAAGTATAAGCGAGGTACTCTTTAAATATTGTATCTACCAGAGGAACTTCAATAAATTCTTAAGCTTTCCTCTAATCTGAACTTAAATGCATTACATTATTTTGTCTGTCATGAGTAATCTTATACAATTTGAGATATGTGCCTATGTTCCTTCTAATAAAAGCCCATATATCATTGCTTACCGTTCGAAAGGTCTCTAGTAAATGTATATCTTATGACATAAAGGTATCAAATACCTAATTAACCACAACTAGAACTGCTATCATCCCTCTCTATTAACCTATCTGTTTCCAGTAACCAACAAGTTTTGAATGTAGCTCTTCCATATCCATTCAGACTCGCACTAGTATTTAACTTGAGTTGCTACTAAATCAAAAAATGTTTATATCATAAGACGGCATAGTACAGTCTATTATTGTTATACGAATCGAGTCGAGCATTTCTTATATTGAGAGTATATCATCCGACTAGCAACCCAGTTACTTGAACTTACATGTTGTTACTGGGCTATGGGATAGTGCCTTGTAATTTAATATTTTATTACCTAGCTTAGCCCAGTTGAAAAGAATTGATAATCATCATGAAGTTAGCACGATCAAGCGATAGTTGTTCTCGCAGTGTATCTCGGTGACAAGCTAATATAAGTTCGGCCTCTTTTGAAATCTACGTAGGAATAGGCTCGGAATATGTATTGGCATCATAATAACTCAAAAGTAGATATTTTAAGCCAACTTATGAATGCCGGCCGGAAAGCATGACCCGATACGCCAATCGATGGCCGAATTATGACCCCAATAAAGTCGAATTAAGGGGTGCCAATTTATCTTTTTCTAAGACACTAATGGCCCGTTAATGGCTATGATAGTTGGCTATGGCTTAGAGTAATTTTGACGCTTACTGCGTAATCTCTTTGATAGGGGCATGGCTTTGCTTCTCGTGGTAATTAGGTAGGCTGCGGCTGATATAACCATAGTGATATGGCGATAATAATACCCCTTACGGCCATAAATCTCTACGACCTGCATACTGCATAAGAAGCAAATCCATGAGAAGTCGCTAGGTATTGCGCGCGGCATTGGTGGTGGCTCAGGTTGGTTACCTAAATAGGAAGTTTCCCCTTTCATTTTGTGGACTTAGTTGTGTCGATCACTTTCAATTTGTCTTAAATCTCGAGTCTGGCCTTATTCAAAGGGCTTCGTGTTTAGATCTATGAACCTTTCATTGGATTAATTGGCCATAATGTCGAATATAGATGGCTTGGAACTAACTCAGATAGGTGCATCTCTTTCGCAAGAACGGCAGCAAGTCCCGAGTATCTTTCATACTTGGTCTGAATGGCTGAAATAGTTCAGCCCGAGAGCTCTGTCGTTGAGGATCTACTATGTAAATAAGCTAGGTACCTACTCAAAGACTGCTTCGGTTTGGCCCCGTTCTGTTTGAATGTGGCTTATTTTTCTAGGCAAATAATGTTCGGAAATTCGACGAAACCAAGGAACGAGGCGTAATCCATAGGTGGTAGCTATCAACATCATGATGGACTACATTACGAAATTACAGCCTAAGAGTAAGTACACTGCATCTTCACTCTGTGGCTGGCCTTCATATTAGGAGTCTTACAGACCTATAAGGTGTTTCGTTGAAATCCAAACATAAATGGCTGGAACATGCGTGAAACACTAACTACAAGGCTGAATCACAAATGATATTTTAGATGCAGCCTCAAACTAGGGTGCAAGCTATTGGAACATGATCTCCGACTTACAGGAGCCAACCCCCTACTGCAGGGTTGGATCTCCGAACTTAAGCGGGAAATGTAAGATTTCTATAATGATGGTAGTTTATAAGAACTCAGTCGAGTGCCATTCTCTGTGACATATTCTCACTATCCACGATCACATCATCTTCTACATCTTCCACATCTTCCTCCTCATCCGAACCAATAGTCACTCGTTACCCAGTCGCTCGTTACTTATTACACTCGTTTCAAACACATCAAGATGCAGATCAAGAATTTCCTCCCTGTGGTTCTCGCTGCCGTGGCTACTGCTAGCCCAGTGGCCAACCCCAACTACAAGACTTCTACCCCAGAGGCCAAGTACCCAACTACCACCCAGAAGGCTCACTACCCTACATCTACCCCGGAAGCTCACTACCCCACGACTACCGAGAAGAAGGTTCAGTACCCGACCTCCACCCCGGTAGCACAATATCCGACGACCACGGAGAAGAAAGCTCAGTACCCGACTTCTAAGCCAAAGGCCCAGTACCCAACGACAACCATGGAAACCCACTACGCCACGACCACGCAGAAGAAGGTTCAATACTCAACCTCTACTCCTGAAACCCACCACTCGACCACAACCCAGAAGCATAAGGAACACAAAGAGAAGCCAACCAAGACCAAGTCTTCTCACAAGCATGAGAAGACCAAGCACGCTAAGGAAGAGCATCATTCCAAAGAGACCAAGAGGGGCGAGTATCCAACCAAGTACCCAGCAAACACCCCGGCACCTCCTAGGTACCCAACTGCCAGCTCTCAACCTCAGGGTGGCAATGGTGGTTCGGGTAGCCAGGGTGGCTCAGGCGGTCTCGCAAAAATCTGCCCTTTAGGCAACACTGTATGTGACATCGAGACCTTCATCCTTTCTGCTTTCCTCTTCACGGTATTGGTTTGGCGGTCATGAATCCCAGACCTAACTCTCCTAGGGGTTTGAATCCGTAAAATGATTTTGCCTTCACAAATTTCTCTCGTTGAGAGAAACAATTGCTAACCTCTATCACAGCCTCTTTGCTGCCAAGTTGACATCGCTGGCATTCTCGACCTTACCTGTGCGAGCCGTAAGTTTAAATGATCCCATTACTAGTCCATGTAACACTATACTGACATTTTACAGCCGCTCGTGACCTCAACTCTATCGAGGAATTCGTAGGTTCTTGCGCAGAGACTGGCCTGACGGCTGAGTGCTGCGTCCTACCCCTCGCTGGTGACGCCCTGCTGTGCACCACGGTTTAGGATGAAAATTTGCAACGAACTTCATTTGCATGGGGATGACTTACTGATGAACGATTGACTTGGGGAACTCATAGACGTCTACCGGTCGAGCGGCTTTTAACGCATCTGGTCCATTTTGACACCTTCACTTCTGTAACATTCTTTGACATCGGCGCTTGGTCGACATATTTGGACAGTACTGTCTGCTACATACTTTTATTCATATTAGCTTTTACCATTCTTAACGAAATAGAGATTCATGGACACTCGATTTACTTACTTCACTTCCCAATATTATTGACATTCTACATGATAAAGTGTCTCGTGATCTATGAAATATCCCACGTTTCTTCAATGATTGTGTTCTCCAGTAAGGGGCTACCAAGTTCAATCTAGAACGCTCAAGCAAACAGCAAGACCTTTCCTCCTACAAGCATGAAAGTTGTTGTGCATCCTTATCCCTTCCGATATTCGAAGACGAGTGGAATGTACCTATTCCAAGTCCATGATGAAAGTAATGTTTGCTTTCGGGTAGCTTCCAACATTACACGCCTTCGCAATGAAGTTTATTAGGAGATACAAGCGGTGCAATAGTTTAGGGTCGAGAGAAGTGGCTATGCACCGCCAGAATGAAATAAGGGATGTTGGAACTATTTCCTAGACCTTACATCGATAATCCTTCACAGTTGATCCGTAGCTGCACCCCGTACCTACAAGGGTAAATTATTGTAGGAGCCGATAACGCATAGACCGGTACATTTTCCTCTCTTTTCTCAATTTTCCTACGTGCTAATCAAATATATAAATGCGCATGCATGCCTTACAACAGTCATGAAGGTGAGCGCGGTATATAGGAGGCACAATGGTCTCGCCAGGAAGACGAAACTTCATATGGTCATTCCTCAAGAGCTGAACATTTACATGACCAATTTGTCACCAGGACGTCGTAGCAATGTAACCAAGGTATAGTGTATACTGCAAATGCAATTTAGGAGGATTTTCTAGTACCAACATGGACAGAACCATGGCAACGGGTAAAGTCCTACAGGGATATTCCTATCACAACGTTCTAGGCAGATTCCCGAAATGCAGAAAGGACTGGCGGCTCAGGGGTACCGTGATTAACCATATGCATCGTATGGGTTGGATTTTAGGGAGAGAATAGAAGCCCAATTGCATCCTACCCTTCAAACCAACAGCCACAACCATGTTGGGAACACGTCACGTAGTATTCAAGTTGAGCAAAATATTAATTGATTACCAAGGGATTGTAACGGATGACAAGTAATATAGTCATCACGTGTATCATTAATAGCAAATGACATACCTAATGTACTTCAATTAAAAGTCTAGTTGACCCTGGGATATTTTCCACGTTGTCATCTCGAAAACTTCCAAGTAATTTCTGGCGCACTTTATGATCACAGTTAAATGCAGTTGAATATTATGGCCTATATAGTCTTATGTGTCGAGGGGATAATATACTTGCTTTTAATAATAATAAATAGTAAAACCTAAATGTCTACAACTTGTCCTGTTGAATTAAACAAATATGATTAAGTTAGTCTCTTGCTTAAGGGCTTAGTTCCTTAAGACTTTTTTACGAAAGTATATAATTCGATTATACTGTAATTAGTTTATTTAGGTCTATTGAGATTTGGACTTAAACTCGAGCTAAAGTTCCTCAGTAGAATACGTGCACCAATTCTATTGAAACATAACTCCCGTGGAAAGATAGTGAAGTGGATTTTACTTCTGGCTATTCTAGTTTCTATATCCAACATATCATATCGTACCACGTAGGTAATCCCAAAGCCAAGTTATCAACAAGCAATCACTTTGTCAACGGGTTCTCCAAAAACATCTTCCAGCCATCCCCACTCAAGAATGCATACCCGTAGCGTTCTAAAGTGAAAGGGATGCTACAATTATGACAAGTCGATGTATAGGTACCCAGATGCAACCCTTACCTGATTATACCCTTACCTAACCTGACTATACATGATTTAATTCAGTACTGTTACTCGTATGTATACACGTCTATTCCTCACATGACGGAGTTGCTGCTCTAACCATCTGCAGTACCACCACTAACACGCACACCACAACATCCCACTAACGTCCGTTCTAAGTAGCCCCAGCGAAGCATATTCCAGAAAAACTTTGGATCAACGCACAGAAGGTCATGGGTGGTTGCACGAGTTCCTCAAAGATCGGTGACAACCACGGTGTGCGCGGGTGGGTTGAAATTTGAACAGCTGGAGATGTGGGACCCTAAAGACCCAGCTATTTGGATGGCCGCGGGAGAGCAGACGGCTGATACTGCTTGCATACATACTTTACAGGTACCCAATGTATGTACTATGTATGTACTATGTATGTACGTGTGCGTGTAGTGATCCTAGTTCAGAGTTATCGGCCGAGAATTTCTTGACCGAAACGAGCAGCAGGTTACTAAGGCAGGGCGGTAATTGAGATATAGATTGAGGACCAACAGCTTTTCTCCAAGGCCTGCATAGTTGGGGGTCATTACATAGACGAGATAATTTCCAACGATGCCGAGACCGTTGGTAGTTAAAGGACCACTTGCTTGCATGTATACCTACCTAACTTACATGGTATTATACTGGGTTGCATCGTCGGCCACTTGGGATATACCTAGCAAGGTATTTGTCCATTATTGCCGATCGGGCCGTAATGTATAAATCAGATAGCCGAGGGATTCATTATATACTAACCTAGGTAACTAATAAGTGAGCTTGTCTGCTTTTGCATACATACATGTACATAGTATAGTGTCATAGGTATGATGATGGTGTAGGTTAGAACAGCTCAAGTTTGGGTATTTCTCCATTTTTAAGAGACATGTACTAATATAAAGTTGAATTCAGCACACCAGTTAAATGCTTGTAGATCCTATATTTAGAAGTAGTTCATGAGGAAAAGAAAAAAGAAGTGACACGTCTGTTACCTGGAAAGAATTCAAGTTACACGATTAGGTACATAAAGCAATTGCTAGGAGGTACGTACCTACCTACCTACCTGACAGGTAGAACAACGCTATTTCAGGGGTCCTGACCCGATGTTACACTGCCTTACCATTTACCCCTCCTTTCCATTCTTTGATCCACATCAGTTTCTGCAGATAGTAAATAGCTTCATTTCTTTGCGCAGTAGCTTCAATCGCTGTTATCTCAATTCGAATATCCGTCTCTGGGAATTGGGTTTTACATGAAAAATTTAGGTAAGAACAAGTGATTTCGAGATCGCATTAGTCTCGATTGAATAGGTACCTAAGGCATCGTCTCTCAGATTTGAAAACCCACCTTGCCCGTCTGCGCTGAACCAGCCTTGTCCAATTCAGCCTCGTACCTAAACGCGTACATAGCTATCATACCTAGTGTATGTACACTAGCCTAGGTTACCTAGGTAGGTAGTTAGTTAGTCCCGGCTCCTACCTTGTCAAACCCTTGCTCAAGTCTATACTTATTCTAGCTAGCCTCCACGACGTGTTTGTACCGGTTCACGATTTAGTTCGGTGCTACAGGCCCTTATTTCCACGTCGCCATGGCAGTTGATCCAAGAGTTGCGGATATTATCCGCGGCAAGAAGTTGCACTATTGCCTGTGTGCTGATACTAGCCGATGGCACCTTTTTGAGAACGTGGCCCTGCCCGATGCTACCTTTTCCTACTTTGATATGGACGGGTCCTTACTACGGGGGAGTGACGGGGTTGACTGGAGTTGGCCTACGAGGGATGAGTTTGCAACCTACTACGAAAAGACATTGGGCCAGTACCGGAGTATACACTCTATAGGCTCTTCAGCTTTCGAGCAGGTTAGCCCCGATGAGGTGAAGGCTACGTTCGGCGTCATTTGGCGGGTCGCAGTGAACGAAAAGCAGGGGACAGGTGGGGGGTATTACTTCGAGACGTGGGTTCGGAAGGATGACGACTGGTTCATGAAGTCTTTAAGGCTTGAAAGAACCTATTGGCATATATAAGGCTTTATCTTCGGGTATCTAATCGAGTAAGTCCATGATGCCAATGGAGGCGTCACGATGTGTTCTCCGCTTGGGTTTTACTTACAGACACCCAGAGCAAGGTTCTTTAACGCGCCGGAACGTCAGCTCCTGAGCGAGTAGCAGTTATGATTGATTTTCGATAAGGTTAATAACTAGTTAAGGGAAAACGCAACTATACCTTAGGTACTTTCTACGATGGTTGGGCGTATATTTACTTGTAGGTTCAGAATTACCTTATGCTGAAACTGAATTGACTGGTTTACTAAGCGCGAGCTACATAGACTCTTCATCTCTATATTGAGTATTTTCTAAATGGAGTGTATACCCGTGCCTTACCGTAGGAGTTCGTACTTAGGAGATAGCCCTCTGACACTGTGCGTCGCTTGTTGCTCGCCATTGTTTCTAGAGATGTTCGTTAAGGTGGGTAAGCATCCTAGTAATACAGACCTGACAAGGGAGGAGGTTGCATGCAAGCAAGGATTTTATGGAGGAGCAATATAGAAAAAAGGTCTATTTATTTTTATGATCTCGTACTGTGTAATAATAGCTCTTGACAGCTCATATTTAAAGCTTCCCCACGATAAACTGTTGGCGCGATTTCCTCACGGTTAGATGGATCTTACGCCCCCTCACATTCCTAGTCATTATGACTGCAACTAATACTCACCGCTGACGCGCGAATGTAAATGCATACAGCCCTGGCCTCAAATCCGGGCTCCGGTCTTCGATACTATCGCGTCTCCTCTTTCGAGATAATTCTGCGGAAACATGCCGCTCTACCATTCTATGCAGGACAGGAATATTGGTATTAATGGTGGAACTAACGCTCGAGTTCAAGTTAGCTATCGTTATAAGAGATGTACCTATCATACATGGGTCTGCGCAATCGTATGAAATCTTAGATAACCGAAGCGTAGTATCGGGGGCTGGGCCGAGTCTGCTGACTATGATCCTCACCGAGACGGGATGGTTAGGATTTGGAATCGCTGGCTACTTCGGCCTGTACATACATGCAACTTTGGTCTTAATATTCGAAAATATGCCTGGCTACCTATCCATGTGATAACCATGCAGCTATGCCAACCGCCATTATCCTGGCAAATTTGCTCACTCTGTCCCTATACGATCACGAGTTAAGCAACCTCGCCGCCTCCTCTTATTTACCTTGCCGCATGATAGCTTTTACGTCAGTGTAACCTCTAAAATTCCAAACCGTTGACTATGAGGCTCTGATGGGCTTATAATACTACATGATTATACACCGCTTTATACTAGCGGCACTACGATGTGAATTTACATAGCACGATTGGTTAATAGCACAAATAGTGTAGATCTGGCCCCAGACGGATAGGTATGTATAATATACTTACTGGAGCTAGCAATCTGACGATCCAGTCTCATCCGCAAACCACCGTTATGGGTGGACTAGCCTGAAACGGAAAGGATCGCTTCCAAGAAGAATCTGGATTTACAGTGGATGGGCTGGAGCGATATCTCTCTCCATGATGGTTTGATTGGGAGGAGTTTAGCTATTGGACCCGAATTTATGGGATGATTATGAGGAAAATATTTTATTTTCCCTTCCCTTCAACAGTAGCCGAGCATATCTCACCGCTCATGGGGCGGAGCTCTAAACAACTAACGTGTCTGCGTGTATGTATGTAACCCGCTCATGTTGAATGTGAGGGGAATGAATCTCAAGATTGATAATATACACTACATTATGGAGATATCTAACTACATGTGGATGTAAGAACCAGATCTAACTACTAATTATCTACATACATAGGTCTCATAAATCTCATAAGTCTAAATTTTGCGCTACGCTCAGAATGCCCCAACATCACAACCCCCCCTGGCTAGATTAGCTAGTGGTGCTGACCGGTGTGAACGCAGTCAATTCCTCTGTATTCGAAATACTTGTTCCATTCAGGATCGTTGATTAGCCCATCAGCTAACCTCGTCTCGTACGAGATGCTGAGCTCAGGACCCTCGTCTGAATCGGGGGACCTGTCGCGCGGCGGATACACAAATGTAAGATTCTCAGTAACCACATCTATGACATGTCGATACCCGATCGGCTTGCCGAATCCAAAATCGCACAGGGTGACCTTGACGTCACGATGGTCAGTCTGGAGGTTTGATAATGGTGGAAACGAATCTGTGCGGGTCATCAAGGCCGGCTTATCACGTATCGGTGCTAGCTGGTTAAGCACCTCATCCACACGTTCCTGGGTTACTTCGTCGGTCATCTGACGGATGTATTGCGCCAGCCTAGACAAGGGCCATTCTGAAATGATCTGCGCAACAGTTGGCTGTTGGACGTTAGTCATTGTGGTTGACGCCACGAAGTACACATTTCCTTGCATGCGTGGTGGGCACTTTGGGGTATGAAGGCGTCTTCGCATATCCATTGATTGAGCCCAGGCCACATTCGACGACATATCTGGCTTAAAGAAGGGAGCACGAAGCCGGGTCGTCGTCCGAAAGAGGAACGCTATGAAGGCATCATAAGTTGAGATCCAAGTACCGTTGTCGGGGCTAGCTAGCTTCTTCAACTCGGCTGCCTTGCTCTTAGGTAGGTGAAACAGGTACATTGTAGCCCCAATATGATCTGGATGACGCTGGGGCTGAGGAGGGCCGTCAATCATCTGGTCCTCGGGAGGTAGATCCTTGATAAAATGCGGGACACCAAAGTGGTTATCGCTCCAAGGAGGAAACGGAGTGTTATTCACGATAGCGTAGCAGTTGTCGGCCAATTGCTCTACAAATCCAGACATGCCCATCACATCGCAAGCGTAATGATGAAAATGCATATTGAGGACTAGGCCACCACGAATGAAATTAGCCTTGAAAGCTGAAATAATGGGGTGATTGTCAGGGTGTGCCTCTGGCTTCTCCCCGTATGTCATGGGTTCGACACTCCAGATCTTGAGGTCGCCCATGGCCACCGACCCAAAATTAGCCTTTTCGAGATCATCGAAGGACGGGTATTTATCCTTGTCCTCAGGCGAGTCGAGCCATTGAACATGAAAAGGGACTGTGCTATCCTTCTTCTTGATGAACACGTGACCACCCTTCTCTTCATCTTTCTCAATCGTGCCGATAATATGTCTAATTTGCGTAATAGTGCGCTCGAGGCCAGCCTTCAGCGTAGAGGCAGCCAATTGCTTCTTATCATCATCCAACCTAAAGAAAACAGCATAGTTGGTATAGACGCAGGCTGCCAAATAGTCGAGTGTGGTTACTTTGCGAAATTCTACTTCTGGGTCGCTCTCCCAGCCGTTTGGGTGAAGCTGATAAATGTCTTGCTTTGGCATGGTTGCACTGCAGGGAGTAGATAGGTGTGATTGGATAATTGATTTGTCAAATAAAAAGCAACTAATATGCAGTATCTGCAGGTACAGTAAACAAGCTGAGAGCAGATAGGAGAAAAAAATAGCGTGTGGAAACGTGGAAACAAATAGGCTTCACGCCACAATTATCAAAATTGTCCGAATGGTTTGTTTTTGCCTATTTTTTGGAGAACCTGGCTAGTGTAATATAACTAAGAATCCAGTTTTCGCGTCGCTAAAGATAAACGAAATCCTTTCTAACGATTAAGGGGTTTATACGAGCTTATATAAGTCGGATAAATGCCGTATGACTGTAGCAATAAACTGCTAGTGCGGCAGAATGCCGTCAAAAAAACATGACCCATACTGTGGTAGCGACCTGTATGAGGTATCTTTTTTGACAGTATTCTCTGCGGGTGATAAGTTTCTGCGCTGGGAGGAAGTCCGCGGATGTGGCTAATAGGGGCAAGAAGTGCAGAGTTTTGACTAAGCCAAGGATAGGGTTCCCTTAAGCCAACCCATATGGCCCACTTCCTGCTTAGAGAGGCGGTATCGTGATCCCATCATAGCTTTGATCGTCCGGGTGCCTAGCCATATCTCACCGTACAATTGCCGGGGGCAGCGTGTCGCGAACTTTGAAAAAAAAAAATGTCGAGAAAGTTGAAAGAGGTCTTCTTTTTTGACGACTTCGGTGATGGGCATTAGGAGAATTATATATCCCATAATTTTCTATACGATATTTCTGCCATGTGAAAATGGTATGTCCTGAACTTAACCGAAGTTTGGTAGCGAATGGAGAATTATAACTAGTTTGTTACATTTGATTCGAGGAAATTTGAATTTTACGGTCCAATGCATCAGACCCCTGTTCGATGTTTTTTTTTGAGATATCGCAAGCTGAACTCGCAAGAGGTAGAAAAGTACGAGTATCGTAATTGTTCACAAATTAAAAGAAAAGAAAAAAGTTTCCCTAACGATTGATTATATTATTCCACAAGGAGTTATACATCCTTGAACATGAAACATGCGTAAGGGTTAACCTCGCAAGACTGCTAGTTAGCTTCATCAACTCATTTATTTATTTTTTGGTTGAAGGCGGTTGAAAAGTACACTAAGAAGAACCCGGAAATCGCTCGTACGAGAACTCAGTTATGGATCTTATTAATGGACCTACCCTTAAACCGCCGCTTGGTATGACTTCTAACCTAGACAACAATTCTCCAAATAATAATTAGCTTGCATGGGTCATGGATATTTTGTGTATCGCATTTTTCTACCCTTTTTATATGCGCTCGAAGTTACGAGTGGTTATATCTCGCTAGAAAAATACGGCTTGAAGAAAGTATTTTTCTATATATTGAATACCTATTCTCCGTTTATAACATTCCTCTCTTGGGATAGGGTTCTCTTAGAAGAATATACCTTATATTGACGGTTGCTAACATATTGACAATCTTAGTATTAGTTTTCATTGCTTAAGTTGGCTGCCCACCTTATGAACTATTCAAAAATGGATTTCTATAGCTGTATCACTGGCTTTATATAACCTAGAGCTTCTACTAGGGAACAGCCTATCTAGCAGTTGCCATGATTGAGGCACGAGGCTATGTATTTTAATACTAGTGGGACACTCGCCTACGGGATCTTATACCAACAGCTTATATAAAAGTACCTTGAAGTCTATGGTAAAATAATAACTGACTTTCGCTTAGTGGACTCTCATCTACGGTATCTGCTATTCATCTGTGATGTCGTGTCTAAAATCAGCTATCCTGATCGAATAGTGTCGAATCTTCGTGCCTAGAGGTAGCCGGTCGACGAATTATTTCTGATGGGATGCTTCGTCGTTATGTTTATCTAAGTTAGAACGGGAATTGTAGTCATAATCGCAGCGAGCCTTCAGTGCACCCCACACCCGGCCATCTGGGATATCACCATCGCTGGTCGTAAGTGCTTTCCCCTTCACAACGTTCAAATCTCATCGGCAACTAACTAGCGTCTGACGTTACTATCTTCTTGCCACCGCAACATATAATTTGGGAGATCCAGATGACGTGGCAAACTAGACTCGGCGTCTCGATGATATTCGGCATGAGTTTGCTGTAAGTCTATGACCTAGACCTCCCATCATTGCCTAACTTGATTAGCAAGCTAATGCTAGGGATACAGTAGTGCCTTGCGTCTTGGCCGCGGCGAAGTTGGCAACGACAATTATCCATTGCAACTCAGAGGACCAAGTGTATACGCTAGCGCCTTTGGTATCGTGGTTAATGGCCAAGATGGCATGCGGGTTCTTTGTTGCCTGCGTGGCCTTTATACCGAAGATTGTTCGGGAGTCAAAATGCTTCCCTGGATTTAAGAGAGCTTTCGGTATAACGACGAAATCGCAGTTAGCCAAGGCCACCGACGGATCGGCGAATTTTGCCAAAGTTTTGGCAAGATGTCCGCCGCCATAAGCACTTATCGTAAGCTAGATAAATATTCTATATCGATGGGAAATATGAAAGGAACTAAATCTACAAACTAACTGGAGAAAGAACCACCAAGCTTGACTATCGTCAGCACAACGCGAATCACTATTACTCAGAATTCCCGTTCGGCCGTGAATACCGGAACTGGTGGCGTGCACAATATTGCGTGGGGTATGTAAGGGTTTGTAGGCGCATAAGAGTGACCGTGGCGCTTCTGTCTCGGATGAAGTTCGTTCTGGATCATGGCATCTCATGGAGTTGAAGCTTATGGAGCGTTGGTAGGCCATACGCTTGGGCACCGGTATTGGGGTTTCTTCGGATTTGCTGGAAGTATAGGTGGTATACATATTGGGGTTCACTGAGGGGTATGTCTCAGGACATACGTAATAGAGCATTACAAAATGATAAAATATACCTACTATATTACCTTCTATATATTAAGGGATAAAACGCACCTAACATACATTATTGTAGGTGTATATGTATAAGAAAGGCTACTATACTGACACATATGCGAGTGTTACATGGCCCCACGTTGTAGGGATGCAAGGAAAAGGATGGTTGGATGGCCATATTTTAAATATAAGAAAATATAAGCTTGATCGTATTATCGTTTGATTATTTCTACCTTATGTATGCGCTAATGCAGGCTGCACATGGACTCGATTTACACATGTCACTCGTGCGGATTTTGGGATACTGGGGACCTCAATGTTTAGGTACGACGCCCATTGCAATATACATGTAAATACATCTAGGTACAGGAAGGGTATTACGGTACCCGAGATTTCGGGTTTACTTTGCGTAGTGTATTGTCCTCTTTCGAAGTGTCATTTAGCGTTGTTACCCCGATTAGGCAAACAAGTTTTCGGTAGGCATCCCTATGTCGATTAGCGTAATGACTATCCACCTCACCTGACCAGCAAGCCGGGCTGTAAAGTCCAAACAGAGTATCTAAAGTAACGCTGACGGGATGTTTTCACATTAGCTTGATAATATAACCTGTAATTTTTAGTTGCGTAGCAATGCTGCAATGCAGATGCGAAAGGATAGGGATGATTCAAAAGAGAAAGAATGTGGTACTACATAAGTAGGTACCTATGGATATGATGATATGATAAAAGGGTGGAGTGTTCTGGCGTCCGCGTGGCGGCGTGGTGATTGCCGGTTAAAACCCGGGCTATTTTATGTGCGCAGGTGCGGCACGTCAAGCTTTCTTCTGGCAATGGTAAATTATGGTTTCAAGTATTTTCAAGCATTAGGTAAATTTTATTATTCCGTACAGGACTTTTTAATTCAACATAGAAATGTGTAAAGCAGTTATGCCTACTATCTCATATCATCACACTGTCTAACCATCTGACCGTCAAAAAAGAGAAAAAAAACCCTTTCAGCCTATTAAAATTCATTAATCGACACGGATGTACCGACGATTTAAGTAAAGCACGAACTACTGCGATAGGATGGATCTCTCTGTAATGTGGCATGCATAGAAATTCGCATCCTTCTTAGGTAATCGTTCTAAAGCCATGCCAAAACAAGTCTAAGGCATGTCTTCCAATGGTATCCAATGATCCAATAATCCAATGATCCAATGGTCCCATAGGAGATGCTACGCACGCGAATGCAACCTGCAAAGTTCATACATACATGTGGGCTCAAGTGAATTAGGTACTGTACCTAGGTATGTAACCATATCCTCCTCTGGGCTAGGGTTGACTTACGTCAATTGTTGTCCAGATACCCTTACACCGTATACCGACTGAATTCTCCCACGACATGATGTGCTGAGGCTCTCCAGTTGCCTCCACAAATGCCCTCCACAGATGCAGCAACCCGGACAGGACCGTTTGTTCATGAAACCTGGAAGGAGACGGCAACCTATTCTTGTTTAGATTTTCCCCGAATGTAAACCCTTGCCAACGACCGGGAAAGCTTTGACTTGGCGACCCGGGCCGCTTACGACGTAGCGAAGAGTGTGGAAGCCGAGACGGGGGACTAGGTTCTATCTATGGTACGCCTGGGTCTACGCGTATCGAGGATCACCCCCTTACCTTATCGACGGACGAGTGGAACTTTAACGCATGTAAAGCAGCTCCGCAACAATGCATCTGTTCTGGGTCGTCAGTTTTAACGCCACTTGCGCGCCGAGATCATGGCAAACATGTCCAACTTCCCGAGCTGCGGGGGCCTTGCATTTAAAGGGATTCATCTAAGGCCAATATAGACGATTCTAGTACGAAAAAAGTACAGTATCCCTATTATAGCTCCACTGATCTGTAGCGTGTCAAGGTAACCTAGGCGGCACCCCCAAAATGTTGGTAATCTATTCACGTACGCCATGTACGTCAAACCCTGAATGGAAGTCCCTAGCCAGGGGACTGGGAAGGGCTCGAAATTCGTGTATATTTATGGCCGAAGAAGCGGTGAGTTCTACGATGGTAAAAGGTAAAGGTAGACCAGGCCTTTTGATGTTGACACGGCTAAATGATGTTTTGTTGCTCTATGAAATTATTATCCTTCTGCATCATTATACTTCGAATAGGTTGCAGGCTACAATCTCATACCGCCTTTCTAATATCCTAATACTAATGCGCTTGCGGTAACATGGCGGAACACACAGACACATCAAGCACCCGATCGTTGTCGGAGGCGACAGGATCCGGGGATATTGCTATCGTGGGCCTCTCCTTCAAGCTACCCCAGGATGCCGACGACGACGCTACGTTCTGGAATATCCTGGAGAATAGACGGAACCTGATGACAGAATGGCCAGAGTCGCGCGTAAAGACTGGTTCTTTCTTGGACAACCCGCGCCATAAGGTAAGCTTCATGTCTAGTCCGGGTGGCCGCCGTGCCGGAGGCTTATCAATCGCAATAGTTCCAAGGCCGAGGTGCGCATTTCCTCAATACCGACGTGGGGGTTTTCGACGCCCCGTTCTTCTCCGTCACGGCGAAGGAGGCGGCATCTATGGATCCAATGCAGCGGTGGACCCTGGAGGCATCTTACCGTGCATTTGAAAATGGTAAGGGCATAATGCAAGCTTAGACGGGACCGGCATGAACTGACTACGATCTCCGCAGCTGGAATCCCGGCCGAGCAGATCAGGGGGTCGCGCACGGCAGTTTACTCCGCCTCCATGTTAGAAGACTACACTAGAATGGTAACCGTGGATCCCGATAACATCGAGCGCACGGCCCTTACCGGGAGCTTAGTCGCTTCTATAATTGCAAATCGTGTTAGCTGGTATTTTGACCTACATGGTCCTAGCATCCATGTTAATACGGCATGTTCGAGTAGTTTGGCAGCTGTTGATATAGCGTGCAAAGCTATCCAGAGCGGCGATGCAGAATGTGTAAGTGTCACTCCTATCCTTCTAGGCCAACGTTATACTCCGAGAGCTAAACAATTACATCTAAAAGGCGCTCGTTACCAGCGCCAACTTTCTTCTCGATCCAGCAATCGTCCAATTATTATCTGACCAGAATTTCTTATCTCCGGACGGTGTATGCCGCAGTTTCGACCACCGCGCAAATGGATACGCAAGAGGAGAGGGCGTTATTGCCCTTGTGCTTAAACCTGTATCTTCCGCAGTTCGGGACGGAGATATGATCCGTGCTGTCATCCGATCGACGGGCTCGAACCAAGACGGGTATACACCAATACTGACTCAGCCTAGTTCCCAAGCACAGGAGGACTTGATTCGTCATGTGTATCGACAGGCCAATTTACCCTTTGACCAGACCCGTTATGTAGAGGCCCACGGTGAGTAAATACATTTGCCGTCACTCGGATAAAGATTCTAACGTGGAAAACACTAGGGACGGGTACGCCTGTGGGTGATCCGATTGAAATGAAAGCCCTAGGTCGGGTCTTTCGAGAATATCGATCGGCCGAAGAGCCTCTTTACGTGTATGTGGATCAAAGCTCCGAACTAGCCTTACGCCTGTTTCTTCACTTATTTGGACGTTTTGACTAAAAGACTACAATAGTGGTAGCGTAAAAGCGACAGTTGGACACCTGGAAGGAGCCAGCGGCCTCGCCGGAATCGTAAAATCGATCTGTAAGTCTCTCATACGGCCCCTCTCTGCCTTCTAATAGGAGAGCCGGAAAACTAATAACATCCGTAGTAATCCTAGAGAAGGGCATAATCCCTCCTAACCCTCTCTTTGAAAAGATGAACCCCGCTATCGATGCCGACTTCTACCATACAGCTGTGCGTATTTATGGAACTGAGAAAATATTTGTATGCTGACCAGATAACTGAAGGTTCCTACTCAAAAAATAGTCTGGCCGGGCTCGGGCCTGCGCCGGATATCGGTCAACTCATTCGGGTTTGGAGGTGCTAATACGCATGTTATTCTAGATGATGCGTTCCATTACCTGCAACATTATAACCTGGCCGGAAATCATCATACTACTTCCGTTCCTGGGGGTACGTTAGATGACTTACCTAGTCCTACGAATTGGTTAGGAAACGGAAAAGTCCACACCAACGGTAACGGCATTATCTATACCAACGAGGTTACCGATATCAATGAGACAGTCCTTACTAAGTCTACTAATGGTAATGGGGCGGATTATACGAATGGGACAAACTATTTCAACGGAACGATTCCCATCAACGGCATAGATTCCTTGTTGAACAGCCCCGTGACGCCCCAGAAACTCGATGTTAGCTTACCCAAATTGCTAGTGTGGTCAGCCGCCGACGAAAAAGCTGCCAAGCGTATGATGGAGTCCTATCAGACATTCTATGAGAAGAATGTCTCCAGAAATCCGACTAAGATTGACCGCTTAGCCTATACGCTGGCTGTCCGGCGAAGCCAGATGTTGTGGAGGACATTCGCCGTGGACGAACCGGAGGGCCAAGCCGGGACGAAATTATCATTCTCTAAGCCTGTGCGAAGCGCATCCCAGGCGGAGCTAGGCTTTGTGTTTACCGGCCAGGGGGCACAATACGTCGATATGGGTTGGGATCTAATCCAGTATCCCGTATTTGCGGAGACGTTGCGGCAGATCGATGGTGTTTACGAAAGTTTGGGATGCAAATGGTCGATTTTTGGTAAGGAAGACGGCGATGCTAAACTCGATAAAACCGTGAAAGTGCAATAAGACTGACCCTCTTCCAACTTTGACAGATGAGCTACGCTCCAGCGCAAACATCAACAAGCCCGAATATAGCCAGCCGCTATCTACGGCGGTCCAAATCGCTTTGGTAGAATTACTCAACAGTTTCGGAATTAGGCCCCGAGCCGTGATTGGCCACTCTTCAGGCGAAATCCCTGCTGCGTATGTGACCCCTGAATTTGTACATTGCTTTGAATAGGAGAATAGGTTGGACTG